CCAAACACCATAGTTATCCCGAGTATCCCGGGATATTGAAGTGGTACAACATGAGCACGGTAGCAGACTGTAATTTCATTTTAGCCCGTTAGTTAGGTTTGTCATACAGCTAGCCGGTATCACTGATGGGACATCGTTTTGGATGTAATTTATTGCCCACACTCATATCATGTAACCCCACAACTTTGACATAGTTCATGTAATTTTAATCCTCCCTCTCCTTTTGTGACAAGGGTAATGAGATTTTTCACACGTCTGGGACGGGTGAAGGATCGTCTCTGTCCCACTCATCTGGTATTGATTCGACAAACAGATATTCTGTTATCAACCTCCCCATCCACCCAAGTCGACTTTTAGTACTGTCAATCTATCCCACTCTGTTGTGTGACTGTATGTAATTGTGCATAGCTGCAGCCGAGGTTTCCTCCAAATTTCTTGTCCCGCAAGAGCCTGCTAACTCTGATTTTGCTTAGCTTTTGTGCGCTTTTATTTCAGCTGACCCTGGATGACTACTCTTACCTATGTATTTAACGTCACAATCATTGCGAGAAATTTGGTAAACCCATGTCTTCAAGAAAATCAAATGCCTCGGGAGCCTGTGCTGTGAAAGGCGTGAACGAAGGGGACCTCTCCTGACTGGAAGCCTCTACAACCACCTTTAACACACAAATAAGCACTCCGCCATCAAACCGAAGCTACTAACTGCCTGAGCGGCCCCCAGCAGCGCTTGATGGGGGAGAGTTTCACGGAATGAAGGTACCCTCTTTTTAATGGCTTCGAGGTGCTGTGAGAGCTCCAGCAGTGATAATCGCCCAGATGCGATGAGATTCCGCAGTATGTGTCGAAACCATGTGAGGGTTCCTGGTGGAGTCCGCTTCGTAATCTGTTTCAACATTCCTTGGACAAACATGTGGTTGCACAAAGTCAGAAGCGTGCTATTCCGTCTGTTATCTTCAAGGGGAGACAGCCTGAACCCGAGGTGCTATCGACTGATGGTATTTCTACCGGCGTAGTCAAAAGTAATGGACAGCCTGATAAAAGACTGTCACATAGTATTTGGACAGAATTCGGAGCAGAGTGGCATCCAACACGGTTTCCGAAGGCAGAGGTTGTTCCTCTCAAACTTTCTGGCACTCGGCTATAAATGGATGGAATGCCAGGGTTCTCAAATTCATGTTCATGTGATTTTCCTGGGTTTTTCCAAGCCTTTGACACAGTCTCACGCCCCGTTCTCATTTGCAAAATATCAAGGTCGAGTGTCAACGGTAAAGTGCTCTCTTGGACACTTTAGACTGCGGGGAATTCCGCACAAAAGCCAACAGGGTTCTCCAGGCCTGGAGGATAACACTATCGGGTGTATCAAGGGGAGCAAATCTAGGTCCTCCAAGGTTTCCTTTTTGTGAATGACCTCCCACTGACTCTCAGCTCCTCGATTCTACTTTACGATGGAAGTGATAAGTTATGAAGAGCCGTGACGTCTGTGGCACAATTAAGTTGACTATAAGGTGATCTCAGATTCCCTGTAGAGTGAGTGACTAATGATGGACTAACATTCGACTTGGGTAAATGACAAGTCATGTCTATTCGTGGCCGCGACTCCCGAAAGGCATCTCACTCCCTGGGTAGCACACAACTTTCCCACAACACCGCTCAGAAAGACTCGGGACAAACACTGGCTGACAAGCCGGACACCTGCTCAGACTGTCCAGGATAGCCCAGAACCTGCACAGAGCTGCACGTTCTGTACAGACAACCAGGTGCCCTCATTCTGGAACTCTCCCTGAAGCTACGCAAGACCTACATAGACCTAAATTTGAGATCCATAGCGTCACTAATCATCATACCTGAAAAGAGGAATGAGCCTCCCGGAGAAAGCGTGGAGTCGGACGGCGAGGGGCTGTGTGGAGATGCGGCAAAAACCTTGTTGGGACAAGCTGAGAGACCTAAGGCTTTACTCCCATAGTTAACCTAGGTTACGTGTTGAAATGATAACAACTTACAAGCTACAAAGTATTCTGTCATTCGAACAGTGGATTCCCAGTGAACGTCCACTGCCACAGTTTTCGTGGTAGCCCATGGAAAGTTGTCAGCCAAAGGGCGAAAACGCGTATGCGAGTCTGTGGCCTCTGGAACACATTAGCTGCGAGATGGCCACCTCTATGCCTGTCGACCGCTTCAAGAAGAGGTTGAACAGTCAAGGGGTGATGCATGGCTTGGTGTCATCCAACTGGAATAGGGAATAGGTTGATCCAGCACAAACTGCCCCAGTCCTAATTCTTTGTACCACCACAATAATCGCAAACTTGACTTGACCTTGCACTTCCCTGTTGAACGTCTAACCGACAGTTACCATACCCGCACCGACAACATTACTATCTCTGTTCCCACAGTCCATCTTCCTTATCTCTTCACTAAAACTCAGTGATCTAACACTATTTATTAAAATTCTCCCTGTCACTGTTATCCCCAGTGAATCCAGTTAGGTTTGTCCTTCTCTAGAGTTCCGCTTATATTATATTAGTGCGCTTCACCTCCCTTAATTGCGCCGAACATTTTTACTCGTTTTCTGTCTGCTTTATGCAACTGGTCAGAGAAGCTGCCTGGTGGCACCAGAGTTGGAAGGATCTATCTGCACCACAGCCCTTGGAAAAATCATACAACCTCTACAAGTTCAATCAGCACCCAACCACCTGTTGAGTCAGCCGGCGATAAAGAGAACGAGTGGGTAGACTCCTATCACTGGGATCCACCGAAGACCTGAGACTGTTCCGCAAAACATGAAGCTGGCTGAACAGCATTACGGAGGGGCTTGCAGCAACTATAACTCTGGTTGTCGGAAAATTATTTGAGCTTCAACTTGGAAAAGTGCAAAGTAATGCACGTCAGTAAATATGGAGTGAGTACAACCAATTTCCGGTTCATGTTGAGCAACCATGCTATCACCAGAGTGTTCATAGAGAAAGATTTGGGGCTGAACCTCTCCGACACCTTGAACACCAGCTCCAACTACAAAGGTATGACAACCAGAGCGAACGACGTTTTGCACTTTCTGCACAGACAGCTTGGCGCCCTCACCCCCGAGCTCTTCCTCACCGTTTTCGAACCCCACGTGCGGCCTCATCCAGAGGTCTTCAGTACGGTGGCCCTCCCAACACTCAGGAGAAACTCTAATCTCCATAAAAATACAAGAAAACAATGAAATTATTTGTGGGGCTGAAGAGAAAGACATATCCTGAAGGACTTAAACACCTCAACCTATTTACCTTGACTTATCGTAGGAAGAGGGGTGACAGTTATTATGGCATACAAAATCGCCCATCAGGCAGACCATGCAAACAACTCAGTTTTGCTCGCAACTCAGTGATCTTCACGAGGAAACCCCATTGAGATAGCACACCAGAGAGCCAACACCATACTCAGGTCCAATTTTTTCTCCCTGAGGGTATGCGCTATATGGAATGCCCTACAGCGACACATCTTTGTAGCTCCCTCAGCCAATTCATTCACGAGGAGGTTTGACAATTACGTCACCCGCATGGTCTTCCATGGATGTACGCAGGAAGACGCCAACCTCACTAGCCCACCCTCACTCCTTTCGTGCCCATCACTCGCCATCTTGCTCCTTAATACACCCCAATTGGCTACTAATTCTTTTCCAGGAAGTAGACCTACGCTATCTACTTTTACCATTTGGGCAGTTCCCAAATACCTTTCCCTCTCTTTTATTTCTTTTCTTTGCCCCGTCCTTTTCTTTCTTCTTTCTTTCCCCTTTTCCCCTCCTTCATTTTCTTTTTTCTTCTTCATTCTTTTCATTCTCCACCACCACCTTACTATTCTCTTTCAGGTACTTATACAGACAGGGGTCGCGACAGGCCCCTAACCATCCCAGCAACCTGTAGCAACCAAACCACTCCGCAAATTACATCTTACCAACCCACAAAACATCCACCTCATCGAGGCTAAAGGCAAGAAGCAGAGGGGATTTCCCCATCCACTGTAGGAGTGAACCGGACAACTCGAATCAAGCCCTAAGAAATGAACGCCAGAGATCAAAAACTGTCAGTTTCCTACGATCGCGCCATCAATATTGGATACTGAACACGAAGATATCAATTGGTTAGCATTAACAGAAGTTGGAAATATGCAACACTGGATTCTGACCCAGTGGCTCAACGGTAACGCACTGGCCGCGGAACCTGAAGGTCGCCGGCTCAATCCCTGGGTGGGTGCGCACTGCTGAGGAGTCCCATACTAGGACGGAACAGCTGTCTAGTGCTCCCAGGTTTCCTTTGTTCCTCCAACTGGTGCCAGTCTACGATGAATAACAACTTGAAATAACACTGACTCGTAAAAACATACTGGATATTGGATTAACTTACATAACAGCCGGGTTTGTTAGAGACGGGAATTCCTGGTATCCTGAGTCAAAATGTCGAACTGTGCCAAGCCCCTGAAACTGACTGGAATAACCCAGTTCTGTAAGCAGATATTGGATATGGAAAACCCAAAGTAGGTTAAAGTAAAAGACTCTGTGCCAGTGTGTAGCAATAAAAAATAGTTAACGTAAACTTACATGAGGGAGGTAAACAGCAAGTATGTAGCTTGCTTACATGAAGGAAACGTAAACCTGAAAATGTTGTTTTAATCGACCAACTGATTGTATTTAGAAAGCCTTGAAGTTTTCGCCAATGTCAATTTGTTTTGATTTATGTATAGTTCTATTACTCGGTGAATGTTTTGCTAGGTCTTCCTTCAAATTTCCAGTCTACCAATACAAGCGTAAAGCAGCAAACGAACAATTATATCAGAGAGCTACTCAAAACTGCAGTGATACTTGTACCAATAGTGGTAGGAGTGGTTCTCTAGAGCACACGAAATGTACGCGCTGTTGCCTGAGCCAGAGTTGTTACGATCATTTATACGGTTTCGACGAGCTTGAGGAAGGAGAAATCGACGTCAGATTCGTATCTTTTAAGGGTTGTGTACTACAGAGACTTAAGGAGAAGGGTTTTCGTGTAATATAGGTGAGTAAATTATGTTTTATCGTATCATCCTCTCTTCAGAATTGTTTTATTTTGCAGTCACTTGTTATGTGAGAATATAAAGTGTTCTTTTAGTTTGCACAGGGGACTGTTGAAATGTTCTGTTTATCGTGGTGGAACAAGCGCATACGAAATACAAAGTTTTTCTTACGGCAAACAGGTTGAGTAGCAGACTCCCATCGGTTGCAAATAATTACATTTCTGCAAATTGCAGTGTATCACAGCTTTTTACGTTTTCTGAAAATACTACTTCTGGAGCGGAACTGTATGCCGGAGGGGTATGCCAGCACCGTGGTTGGTGGGTACGAGTTTCATCTTTTGTAAAGCAATCTGAAAGATGTAGGCAGTAGAAGAAATCCATCGAAGCCCTTTACGAATAATAATACAATAATTTTGTTCTGCCAATTTTACTGGCGGATTCTGTTTGAACAGCTTTAGATCTATTGACTAACCATTTTAATCTGTGGTTACGAGTGATTGTTAGCGATTATGATATATCAATTAAGAAGTACAATTTGATAGCGCATGGTTTTGTTTTGAGTGTTCGCAAGTCGAAAATTAGATAATGAACAGGTTGGTGTCAGCAAAGTTCGTTTTTTGGCGTCGGTACTGAGAAATAGTTAAGTTCTATTGATTCATATTCTTTGTTTACAAGTCTAATTAAAACACTTGCTAAATTAATAGCAACAGATTCTAACGTAGACAGAAATGGAAGTCAGAATTGATTTAATGACTTTAAATTCGGTTGATTATTGTAGGTGGGTGTCATGTGCTGTATGAAGTACATGAAGCCCTTTTATATTTTTGTTGGTTTTACCCGCCAATTACCCGCTATTTACTTACAATTGCGGCTTATAGTAACTGACATGATCTACATTATCATCAGTGCAGTGGAAGAACAACTTTCTAAACTATCTTTAAAGATATGAGAAGAAATTTTGGATTACTTCGCTATCTCCCTCTGGCTAAGAAGTTATCCTGTGAGGTTGTTTGTATACAGTTCATTGAAGGAGTTTACCTTTAACTTAATACTACTGTCGTTACTCGAGTTGCAGGACATATAGGTTCTCAATCATGTATTATGTTTTTCAGTCATTTCGAGTATTACATAATAATTCGTCACTGATAAATTATTATACTCTTTTCTTTCAGCTCACTTTTATATCGCTGTGACCGTGAATATTAAAACCATGACAACTTTAATCACGTCGACATCCCCAAATCCAGCAATTACCAATTCACAAGGAGTGTTTGATCAATTAGTTCCAGCATTGGTTCAGTGTTTTGGGGTGATTATTTTAGGGTATCTTGCTGGCCGCTGGAAAATCTTCCCTGAATCTCAAGCCAAGGGCCTCGGTTCGTACGTTACCAAATTTGCTTTACCCTCAGTGTTTTTTCGAGTGAGTTTCTTTTTTCATACCCAATCTTTCTATATAATAGTTTTCACAGCCTATTTTCTGTATGATGATTATTTATGTTGCTAAGCAGGTATATCCTGGTCGATAGCTGCTGCTTTGATGTGGTGGTCGGGCTTGTATATCACAATGACCCAACGATCCATACTAGCTAGAATTCTTGTTCCCTCAAGTTTCTGCCATCCTGAAAAGGTCTGTTGGTTAGTAGTAAGACGTAAACCAGCTACCATTGTGGTGTAAATTGCTACACTATGATGGGGGTCGGAGAGTGAAGCCGTACTGCTGGCTGGATGAGGTATGACGGCAGTAAAGTGTTTCCCTTGAATAATCAGCAGTCCGACGCTGATGTCTTCCTTAGGGAAAGGGGTTGGAGTGGAAAAGAAAGGCTGGTCACAAAAGTAGCACACTATCCTGCGGTGTTCTGGTGTCGGCAGTATGGGTTTTCTCTGTCCGTCGTTAAAACAATTGAATCACAAACCAACAAACCTCAAACGTTTGCGTATAACAGGCCTCAAGCAGATGTTCTGTGGACCTTGCGGTCACAAATCTCTTTCTCCTCAAGGTTTCCTTCTACGTTGTGGGGAGGTGGGAATTATCAACTGCCCGCATTCTTCCAGTAGAATACAAGATCCAAGACATGTATACTGGTTTATTTTCGAATGCCACATGCTTTCACAAAAGACACGTGTGGTTTTTATGTAAGATCTGTTTAACTAGAGCTGTTTCGCCACGTAGTATGTATCACTCAATACTTTAGGATTAAGAACACCTTAGGGTTAAGAAGAATATATTTGTAGCTTAATAAGAGCAAATTCTAGAAATTAATATTGGGATTGGAGTAAAGAAAAATAAGTAGTGATATGTAATTAAGACTGATTCTTCCGATTATCTAATTTAATTGGTAGAGGAAAACGCAAAATTTCGAGGTTTCTAAGGTGAATCTTGTAAGTCTCCAGCGCAATCTGAATCGAAATGGGATTGGGTTGGAAGAAGGTTAAATGTGGTTAGACTAAGACGTTGCCTCGGTTCAGGAAGTCTGACTGCTGCTCTGAACTGTGTAAGTAGGTTTAAACTACCTACATGGGATCATCAATTGTGGGGTATTCTGTCTGCTTAAGAATTACAGTGATCTACGTGTGAAGATGGATACAGTGGCTGCTTTTACTACCTTGTGATATTCGTAAAATAGGCTATGATTGGATAGTTAGAAGAATTTCTCTTCCTCAAACCTTTGTCAAAAGTTTTCCCTGCAAACCTAAATTAGTACATTAAGCACTAGATCTGGGAAAGAAGTTGAGACTGCACATTTCCAGCTGTCGCAGTTCTCAGTAGCGAGGCTTAAAGAAAGATGCAGTACACTCGCATTACTGTAGTCGATCGTAAACCGTTTTCACTTAAGTTCATTGATAGCTAATTTTTTTACGTTTCACAAATCAAGGTTTCCTTACGTGTAACCAGTGACCGTGAGTTATTGACATACCACTTGTGCTATCCCTGAAGTACCACTTGGTCTATTATTTCACTTCAAGGCTAGTGGTATTTTAGCAGATAAAACGTATGGATTATAGAGATAACAAAAATGGTAGCTATAGTTATGATAGTAATCTCAGTTGAAATCATAGGGGTTGAGTCCTGACCGATAGTTGCTACCTTGGCCTGATGGTCGAGTTTGCATGCCACATTGACCCAACGAGCTGTATTAGCTAGAACACCTGTTCTTTGAGGTCCTACCATACCAGAAAAGTCAGTTAGATAGTGGCAAGGCAAAAAGCAGTTGGTGTTACAATGTAAAGTACAAGGCCTTGAAAGGAGTCCTAGGGGGAAGTCGTACTGCTAGCTAGGTCGAGGTGACAGCATTAAGATGCTTTCCATAGATTACCAACATTGCCACGCTCATATATCTTCCTTATATGAAGTTGTTGGAGAAAGGGGTTAGAAAAGACCGGTCCTCAAAATAACACTCCTTTTTGCTGTGCAGTATTCCGATGCCGGCACATGAGATTTTCATGTTTGGCGTTATATTAAGTAAACTGCAAACCAACAAACCTCAAGCAGATGTCCCATAGGCTCTTCGGTCAGACGAATCGTTTTCCCACCCAAGTACCATGCAGAAACAACTTCCACGCCATGTGCTGTTGAGAAGTACGCTTCGCTCAGTATACAAAGCCAAATCAGTCATAACATATTTTCCTTACCTTTGTTTTCTGCTTTGTCGTTAATTCTTGACACAAATGTAAAGCTTCTCACAACTTCAACCTCTCACTTTGGATCCACCACCAACGATCGAAGCCGCCAAAAAAGCAGTCCTAGTCTCCTAAAACCCCGCTGTCGATTTCACATTGAACCCTTCAACTTCCGAACCCTATGCCAGATCTGACAGCAGGGATTTCTTGAAAGAACCCTTGAATCTTGAGCCATGGATGTGGGCTTTGTTTTTGAGGCTCGTATACAGTACCCGAATATATTTATTGGCCTGATTTCATCTAGCCGATGTGATGTACCTTCAAAATCCACTTGATGGGTGTGTGGAGATTCAATGTCTAGCTGTTGTGGACTCGCTCGTGTAGACATAACATTAAGTTATCAAACAGAAAGCTCACTTTTCGCATTTTGCCGGAATGAATCTATCTAGGAACAGAACTAAAAGAGATCGTGAAACTAGTTGATGCATATTTGTTATCTCTGTCTACTCACCCACCGACTACAGTTCTGATGAGGCAAAAGATGAATTCTATGAGGAGCTGTCAATTTTTCTGTACCAAACAAAACGTTCAGATATAGTCATAATAGTAGGTAACTTCAAGGCTGAAGTAGGGGGAGCTGAGCCTGTCGGCAAGGCATGTTGCAAGTATCTAAAGAATCTCGTTTCAACAAGCCGACAACTGTGATCGTCCGTTGCAGTTTTTTTCTGGTCAGTACTGACTTCAAGCGTAAGGAGAGGCACTGTTTCATATAGCATCTGTCTATATGAAGCCAACGATGTACGCAGATAGGTCACATTGCTATAAGCTATCGTTGGAGAGAACCGACGAAGAATTGCCACTGTTTCTGGATCGCGTGTTTGGACTTCGATCACACCTTAGTACAGGCATGCGTATGTGCCTTACTGGTCCTAGATGAAAAAGGGGGCAGTGAAGCCTGTATGTGCTCTACTAGAAGATGGTAACGTGAAGTAGGTAGGTAAGCATTTATCTGAATGTGACAGCAATGCTGATCGTGAGGAAACCTGGAGCGATATTAAGTTCGCTACTAAAACAGGGGTAGAGACAGCTGGCGGCACACCCCGGGGTTAACAAAAGCCACTGGATTTCCATAACGTCTTCCGAACTGATTGATGCGAGAGTACTGATCCCGGCTGTCTATGATCTTGATGAGGAGCAAAGAAGCTCCAATTTAAATTGATTGAGAGTCTTCGAAATAATCGCTAGTGGGGATGAGAGATGGAGGAGATACTGGCTTTGGATTATATCCAAAAATTATCAAGTCTTAGTAAGGTTGTTGGCAAGATGTTGGTTAGTGAAACCGTCACCGAAAAGGACAGGATGCTGACACGCTTTCAGGACAGACAGCTAGAGCTTTGGACGAAGCACTTTGATGCCCAGTTCAATTGGTGCGCAGCAACGCTTAATTTGCCTGACATTCTGCCTTAACCGGAATGAGATGTTGATGTTGGTTCACCAACTTTTCTCAAAGTTAAGAAGGCTGTATCGAATGTTAAGTGGTGCAAAGCAGCAGGGCCTGATGGTACGCCACCCGAAGATTTCAAGGATGGAGGCAGATTACTGATTAAAGTGATGGAAGTACTAGGTAATGTATGAGAATCAAAGGGAGTCCTATCAGACTGATCTACATCACTGATGATTACTCTTTATAAGAAGGGCAAGAAATTTTCTTGTGATAAGCATAGGGGAATTAGTTTGACAGGTATTGTGTCGATGCTGAGTTCCGTAGTTGTCTGACGCCTAAATATAGCTTAAAGATAGCAAACTGGCGAAGACGAAACAGGTTTTCGACATGGATGGAAGTGCATCGATGAAATCTTCATTCTCCCTCAGGTTTTGGGACTTTAGCTTAAAGGTGGCTGTCAAGTGCTATATTTGTTGAACTAAATGTTGGATTTAGTGAGGTGTAGTGGCAGTGTGTGACTATGAAGGGAGTGTCTGGTGAATATATTGTGCCACTCAAAGTTATGTACTGGGACTGGGGCGGCAGTATGAGAGCTTATGGCAAGTTATCATGTGGAGTGACGACTAGTTGCGTTGGCTGTGAATTCTGGCTGCCACCGTTTTTGTTTAGTTTCCCTATGCACGTGCTAGTGGACATGACCTTAGGTACGTCTGACTTCGCGGTGTTGATCTGCTCCTGGGGGTCATTTGTTTGATGTGGAGTATGCAGACGATGTTATCCTGCTGGGTGCAGACACTGAGGGATTGTAGGGTCTTTTAAACTGAAGGGGTAGGTCAGAAATCTGAGTGTTTAGTATGTCTCACTCGCACATGTGTTCTTTCGGTTTGAGGATAGAGAGGGAAGTTGTGACCACTTCACTTAAAGATTTATGTTAGCTCAAATGGGCTGGTTCTAGATGAAATCTCAGGTTGGATACAAAAGGCTCGTTTGACATTCTTAAACATGCTTATTATTTGGGGCCGACTGGCGAGATATCCAACTATCTATTGAAAGATTGATGTACGACGCCTAATTTCACCCTGCTCTGTTATGGAGTTGTGAAACATGACTTGAACTGTGATGTGAAAAAATTATAGGTTTTTGACCACTGGTGTCCTCACACCACTGCTCACATATGTCGGAAACACCGTATGAGTAACGTCGAGGGGAAACAAAGGGTCCTAAGATAGGAAAGCAAGTGAGTTGATGAGCTTGGAAAGCTTCAGGATATGCTGTACATGCTGAGCTACCACTTTCCTCGAAATGCAGTTCCAGCAAAGGTTCGATATGGTTATAAGTGGGTGTTAGGGTGGCCATACTGAGACATGGCAGCAGTCGCTAAAGTTTTTCTCTTGATGTTGGCCGTGTGTGTAGGTGTCGACAGCGTGTTTGGAGTCGTCGAGATTGTTGTAATCAGAGGTTGAGTAGTTGTTGAGAAGTGTGAAAATGTGTGATAATGGTGTGTACATATTTACTGTTTGATATCTTCTGAAGCTTTAGTGTTTTTGACTGACCTGATTTTTAACTTCGTTTTCGTGGTATGCACCTTTGCCTACTTTAATATCGGAGGAGAAGGAAATGAGAGCTTCTGGGCTGTCGTGGAACTAGGTTCAAAAGATTTCAGAGAACAGAACGCACTGGAGACGTGCTACTGAAGCCCTATGTTCCATTAGGAACCCAAGTGACAAATAATCATAAATAATAATAATTTTTATCTCTACAATTTCTTGGGATGGTACTGCGAAGTGTAGTAAGTTGAAGTGATGGACTTATGTGTAAGGTTCTACGTTGATTTTGTGTGTTACCTTAGTGATAGGATGGTGTGATAGTCCCTCATATAATTAGTGTGGTTTATAGGGTGGTAGAGAAATATTTGAAGTGAATCGTATCATGTTAAAATTAATAGATTTGTAATTTTGAAAAAGTTGCTTTCCTGTCGGATGCTCGCTGTTACCGTTTCTGTGTAATGTCGTTATGCATGTACTAGTGAACATACCTTTAGGTACGCCTGACTTCCCAGGGATTGTTCTACTCTTTAGAAGGCATCTGGTTTGAGAAGGGTAAAAAGGTTGATCGAGATAATGACGAAACAAAAGATTAGGCAATGGGATTGCGACAATTTAAATGAGGTACAATATGTTTTTGCTAAAAGTTGTAATTATGAGAAAGATTAAGTGCACTTATCAACATTATTGTAATTTCTATCATCCATTATTTGAATTTCCTCGCAAAGTACAGTCTTCGAATACATATCACACACTTTTGTCGATCGCTGCTGGACCATAATTTTATCAAATGAATTACATCCCTTGCTTAGAACTCTACGATTAACATGCAAATGGATAACGCGATAGTTCTGCTAAACTTGTAGCATGATTTAGAGTTATAGTTAAGAACCTGTAATGTAGAAGCTGACTTCTATTCATTTAACTAATCCCCTAATGGGGTTTAGGTACCTCTTAGTACGATGGTTATCTTAGGATAGGAATTGCTTTCCTAACCTCCGAGGTCTGTTGTGAAGTTTCAGCATCAACTCACAGGAGATGCATGCAAAAAGTGCAATGCAATCACCCTCAGTGGTATTTCTAAACTACATTTAGTTGTTTGTTGAATCACTGAATTATATGATCTGTTTAGGTCTATCCAAAGAGTTACATTGCATCAAGAAGTGCTAATATGACCACTAATGTTATGTTAGTGGTACCAGTGCATAGTAATTGGTCGAAGTTAGCTATGATTTTTATTAGTATAAGTGTAAAACTTGGCCACTGTGGTAGGACGCAGTTCTATATTATATTTAGCTATTTCGTATTGCTCATAATGATAACGCATTATTTTTATGATAGCACAAACTATCGCTCATAACTATCACACAACTTTTGACATCTGATTTTTATGGTCATATCACCTCATATTATTTATTTTTTGTGGTAATAAGACTTTCATCATCTTCCGTATAGTCGTTGCATCATTCCTGTTACATGTGTTAAGTGTTGATTCAATGAACATTGATTCAGTGAATAACCTCTCTCTCCATCTTACTACATTGGACTTAGGTATAGTGATTTTATCCCATCCTACTGTGTTATTATGTGTTCATTGCATGTATTGCAATAACCGATTTTTTTCAAGATTATTGATCCTAGTAGAGTTAAGTTCCTCTTTTGATGGATTGTGTTCTCTGAGCTGGATTGTTTGATTATTGAGATTTCCTTGTCATTCCAGACAACATCGTATGCACACACTTCAGAAAGACCTTGGCAAAAACAACCAATCACATACAAAGCCATCAGGATAAGCTACTAAATAAATTTCAGAGAGAACGTTATCACTCACTTCTTTCTGAAGTTTGTTATGATGATGATGATGATGTCTAGAAAGCTTCGCAACTAAACAGTCCAACTCAGAGAACACCATACCATCAAAATTATCCTCTTGAGCTATAAATATTCTCCATAAGCTCATATGTTCCGATGATCTAGCTGAACCGGATTGGCTAGTTTGACGTATGTACGTGACACGACAGACATTGTATAGTATCTGGTGGATCAAATAATTTTGTATAACTGGGTCAGTAGGATTTATAAGCCGGCAAAGCTAATTTCTGAGTAAGTTGATAAGTTTGAATACCACTCTAATGCCAGCCTTGTTTAGAACTCAACTTAAACTTGCTCATGTTCCTTCCTTCCTACTTTCCCAATGAACTGAAAAAATTAATTGTTAACTAGTATTGTTTCCTTTATATGTTTCAATTCCTTAGTTAGATCTTTGGATTTACCAGTGAGTTTTCTGGCTCTTTACCATTTAAATGTTTGACTGAACCCACTTCAACTGATATTCAATGATCTGATCTGAAGTACTTGTTTGAGCGTGTTTGTTTCCTTTTGACAGTATTTTCTAAACCACCATGTTCTTCGTTTTACTTTTGCACTCCAGCATATCTAATTCTGTTTTTTTCATTTTCTACCTCGTAAGTAAAATGGTTGGCACTTCCTACTGAGTTTACGTGTGAAGAAACCATCAGTGCGTTCCGATTTCAACACAGTAAATGTATCATTCACATGTCACCATCATGTCTTAAGAGTAGGTTTATGCGTTTGTGAAACTGTGTGTTTCCAACTATCCATGAATAAATCTGTGTACTACCATTGGGGATGCCGATGTTCCAATTCCTACACCTGTTTGTTGATACATTTTTTGGCCTCAGACTTGATGACCGTTGGGGGTGGGTAGGTGTACGCGTAACATATTCTCATGAATCGATACCTTAGTCTTATGAATAAGATCTGAGTCAGTATTAACAAACCTGACATCAATGTCAAGAGTGTTTTATGTCAGAGTCGGGTTGAGGAAAAGGTTTCAATTTAACTACATGAATAGTCTACATGCACATTTGAGGAAGAATATGTTTCACTCATGTCAATATGATCGTTTAAACGTAAATTACCTCATTGCTTTTGATACTTATGATTTTCCGTTACTGTATAAAGTCGAACTGCTTGACCTCTGTAAGCAGGCAGTATCAAGACATCCCCATAGGAGCCCATCTACCAAGTATAAAAAACAACAACTAAAACTTGTTGCACAAGAGGTGGGTCTTGCGCCCCTATAGCTTAGTGGATAACTCTCTGGTGTTTGAAGCGATGGGTACTGGATTTGAGTTTCAAGGGGGAAAAACTACTCAGTGGGATGCAGGTACATCCAACTGACGAGTAAGTACCAAGCAGGACAAACCGTGCCTCCCCCTTTCCACTGCTAGCCGCCAAGGAGACATCAATGCAAAATACCCCCCGGTTTTCTGATTTTGTCAGACTCTGTTTCAATTGCATTTCTCTGACGACTTGAATGTTCTCATGCAGATTCTTTATTTTATTTACTTAATTTCTTGTTGACAACTATTGGCCATATTCTATTACTTTTTAAGTGTAACAAATTGAATTTTTTCTTTCAGGCTATGGTGACAATAGATTTCGCTGGAATTTGTTGGCTATTCGTCTTGGCAGTATCTGTTAGCAAACTGATTGCCTTTTTAATGGCAATGACATTCACTTTTCTGATTAGTCGACGTTGTCATCTAGGCATAGCTGCAATCGTTGCAATGTTTGTATCACAGTCAAATGATGTGGCACTAGCTTATCCTATACGTGAGTTCGCCAACAATTATATTCCTATTAGTTATTTGGAATTTTCGGTACTTTTTGTGCCTATGCATTTCTTCCAGTGAAGTAGTTTTTGGGTGGTTGTTTGATCTTTGTAATTCCCTGGAGCGATAGAAGGTGGAATGGTTCGACCCAGTGACCTAGTCCGTTGATGAGGTTGCGGACCTTTATCGACTAAGGTGGCTTAGACATGTGTTGCGCATGCCGAGCCACCACCTACCCCGTAGTGCCATGCTGGGGGCACTTGGATTAGGCTGGAAGATTGTTCAGGGTGGCCAGAACAAGAAATGGCACCACTCATAAAGTCCTTGATTTTTGGTGTGAGCCGTGTGGGGAGATACAGACTGTCTGACTGTCGTCCACGAGACGATAAGAATCAGCGGTTGCGAACTCATAGTGACATGGCTAAAAATCGGTCACAATGGCGCAAATGTATTCACTCTTTGATGTCTTCCGCAGCTTGAATGTTTGCTCTAGCGTTTATCTTCAAATCATTTATCCTCTTACACAACTTTGTTTACTTTGATATCAGTCATTTTCTATCCTGTCCTTTGTATACTACTGTGAAGTATGGCAACTTGAGCCGATGTAGTTTTGTGCGAAGCTCTACGTTGATTCTGTCTGTCTTTTTCTCTTGTTCTTTACTTAATAATTTCCTCCACGCTGATTACTTTTTCTTCCCTAATCTTTCTATCCTTCATCTTATTACTTTCTACCTTGATGGTCTCATATGAGGAGTAGTAACTTGGTTCATTGCACAGTTATACCAGATTCCATGTTTATGTTAACTTATTAAGAAGCAACAAAGTTTGAGTCATAACTGAGTACTTTCGTGTACATCAGTTAGGACTTTCCAGGTTGATGGCTACTGCTTTCATGATGCGAAGAATACGAAGACGTATAACCTTTAGGAGATTTACTTTTACCCTATATATAAATGTCTTTGAAAGCGTGATCCAATGAAACAAGAGGAGGAACGCTGACAATCTGTTTGATAATAGGACTTCTATTAAATTCATTATCCCATCGTAGCTAGCATACAGGATAATGTTCTTGAACTCTTTTGGGTCAAACTCGAACCAAAAAAACTATCACTTGCTCCACAAGTGGAGGTCAGTTAGTTTGAGTATACAGATATAATTGGCTAGATATGATAGTTTGTTCTTTGAGTTATTTGCGAATACTGCGTGATATTTAAATATTAAGTTGGTTAGTTGCTTCGAAATCACTTTATACTGTAAATTCATATTTTGTGTTAGGACTCCAGATCGAAGCAGATGCCTGTTTTTGAGGCCACTTCCCGAGCCTTAGATTTAAGGTCTAATTCACAAGGCAGTGGACCAACAGAAGCTGGATTCCCATGGTTGCCAGTGACTAAGATAGGTTCATACTTCACTTTTTTATCCTCGAACGTGGAGCCCGTGTGCACCACTGGTTTGGAATCAGGGTTTTCCAACCCCTCTAGGTGAATCCTAGATATCCACCTAAATCGGTGATAAGCGCCAAACATACGCTCTCGCCCTTTCACTTTTGTTGAAATACCCTTGCCATATGAAGACAGTGAACAGGGTTTTCTTGGCAGAGTCTGTGAATGCATACCGGACCATTTGGGGGGCTTGAGACGTTATCAAGCATGACTCAGAGTCGAAACCAATAGTGGTTATGCTATAGCTTCTTTCTATTTTCTACTGCTGAGAAGTAATGAATGTTTTATTTTTAATGTACCTTACTGGACTGCCCTTCTAATCATGCTATTCTTATATTGTTTTTCTTTCTTACTTATCCACTTCTCATCGTCTGTGTTTTCACAATGTTGTTATACTATTTGTGTCGCTCATTTCTTGGTGACCTTGCTGTATCATGTTTGTTTTCTAACAACGATGATAATAATAATAGTAATAATAATGAAAGCAACAACAATAATACTAATACCAATAATAATGACAGTAATAATAATAACAGCAAGAATAATACCAACAATAATGGCACTAACAATACTAATACCAATAATGGTAATAATAATAACGATAATAATAACAATAATAATAATTGAGTATTAATCTCTGCGTTGGTGAAAGCAGAGTCCTCTGAAGAGCATTTGATATCCTTTTCTTTCTAATGTCAGTCAGTGAATCACCTTGAAAGTTTAAATTCATGTAGAATATCTTTTCAGCGTAGATGCAAATATCTCTTTGTTAAGTTTGAGCGTTATTATTTTGTTTTCTCGACAAAACATGAAAGATACCCATTTTCAACCAAAATTTTTCTCAAAACAGAAATCTCTTCTAACTAACCTATGTGATGCCAATGATAAGAAATATAATTCGATTTGAATTTTGAGGGTTTTGTGGAGATTTAGAGATATTTCAAGTTCGTATTCATCGTTGACTGACATCAGTTGAAGGAACAATGGAAACCTGGGAGCACCAGACACCTGTTTCGTCCCAGTATGGGACTCCACAGCAGTGTGCACCCACGACTTTCAGAATCCGTGGCCAGCACGTTACCATTGAGCCAATGGGTCGGAATCCAATTGCCCATATTTCAAACTTCTGTCAGTTCATGACATAGCCCGACCGCCACCCAATATCATCGTCGAGTATTTGTTCTCACGGCCATCAGGTTTGCCCCACTGGTCACGACTTCTCACTGGAATTTCAGGAATCACCTCTTGAAACAAGTCACCAATGAGCACCAGTTCAATTGAATTTTGAGGGTTTTTGGGGATTTAGAGATATTTCAAATTAGTATTCATCGTTGACTAACATCAGTTGAAGGAACAATGGAAACCTGGGAGCACTGGACACCTGTTTCGTCCTAGTATGGGATTCCAGTGGGGCACACCTGATGGCCGTGAGAACAAATACTCGACGATGACATTGGGTGGCGGTCGGGCTATGTTGCGAACTGACAGAAGTTGGAAATATGGACAACTGGATTCCGACCCGGTGGCTCAATGGTAACGTGCTGGCCACGGATTCTGAAAGTCGTGGGTGCACACTGCTGAGGATTCCCATACTGTCCAGTGCTTCCAGGTTTCCATTGTTCCTCCAACTGATGTCAGTCAACGATGAATACCAAATTGAAATAATTCGATTTTCCTTACATCTTAAAAGCACCGAACTCTAAGGCATGTTAACATTGGACACTCCGTGTACACTTCCCGTAGATTAATCTTCTCAAAGTCTCATCAGCTTTTGCTGTCTAGTGTTCATCTAGAAAGGGAATTTCCGGTTTATTTACTAAACATTAGTGAAACATGATTGGAATCGTATTCTTTGTCGCAGATAGTGAAAGTATCATTTAAGTATCATTCTTTTATTGATGAAAGCTGTGGATTATTGATTTGAGTAGATTGTTTTCTTAGACTAATAACAGTTGCTTTCTATGGCATAAAATAATCTATGGATTAATATAAATTTAACCTGGTGGATATGAGGACAGATACTCAACTATGACATTGGGTGATGCTCGTGCTATATGGTGAACTGACAGAAGTTGAAAATATGGACCATTAAATTCCAATCCAGTGGGCCAATCGTAACGTGCTGACCGTGGAACCTGAAGCTTTTACCTTCAGTCCCTGATAGCGAGGGTGAGGTCATAGGTGCGCACTGCTGAATGAGTCCAATACTAGAACGAAACGGCTATTGTTCAGTGCTCCCAGGTTTCTTGTGTTTCTCCAAGTGTGATGTCATCATCATCATCATCATCAATATCAACATAGGACCAGGCATTACTGCATAAAAGTCCGAGTTGCCACACCTCATATCAGTACATCAAGTAGAAAGGTAGTGAGGTGAAGGATAAAGATAAGAGAGTGGAGTCAAAAGAAATATAAAGTACGAGAAGAAAGAAAGAAAGAATGACAAAATGGAGAGATTTGATATAGGGTCATTAAGATGAGGATAATGTGTGTGTGTGTGTGTATGCATCTGCGCCACTGGTTCTGGTTGACACACTCAATCACTTCACTCTCTATTGTTAGCCGTGGTACCGCTGAAGACCGATCCTGGAGCAAAAATTTGCATTTGTGAGGTGAGAAACTCATCGCAAACATTCTTAAATTCCCACTCAAAGTGTGAAAAGACTCTACATCTTGTCAGCGTCTTCACTCAACAGCACTGTAGCATCTTCATGCTTTGGGTCTAACGAAAATTCTCGTGTGATTGGATCAACATCTGTATAATCTGTTGACAATAGGTAGACCTACATAAGATTATCTAGGATAAAATTGAATGGTAATAGAGAGAGTGGGCATCCTTGAGGGACACCACTCGACGACCATAGCTCCCTGGACATCTCTCCGTAGGCTCTTACACGCCCAAAAGTGTTGGAGAGAGCCTTCAATAAGGTGATGTACTTACTCAATTACAGCGTTTAGATCTGTGGCTAAAGTTTTCTAAGCTCTACTGAATGTCTAGGGTGTTGAATGGAATCCCTTCAGTGTTCAGGTTTTTCCCATTTTGATTTTATGAGAAGTCTGTCCTACGTGTACTGCATCGCAGTTTGAGGACTTTATTTTATAAATACGATTAGATTATGAATCTAGAGGGAACTCATCGTTCAAATGAATTCAGATGTTCTACAATGTATTTGATGTTCTCTATAACACAGATGATATTGGATTTATTGACTGACTGAGAAGTCTCATACTACAATAAAATAGTTGTCGAATCCTTGTGGGTTTCCAATGTTCCCCTAACTATGATGTCAATTTGTCATGATGTATTATTATTATTATTATTTGTCCCTTGGGTTCTTAGGGAAACATACTGCTTCAGTAGCACGTTGCCATTCCACTCTCTTCTCTGTAAACTTTTGAACCTGGCTCCACCAGTGCTCAGAAGCTCTCATTTCTTCCTCACACCATCTCCTCCATATCAGCTAGGATGCCCAACTCGTCGTTTCCTATCTGGGTTCTACTCGACTACCAGGCCTGACGAGTGAGATCCCCGAATGGTCTTCCCAGTGCATGCGTAATCCATCTCCACTTCCTTCCAGTGCATATTTGTTGAGTGATAGGTTCTTGCTTAGTTGGTTCGTTGGCAGACCAGAGTTCGTTGTTGCTTATTGTTTCTGGCAATCCATCTGAGCTTCATTGACGAGTGGGTGTAGGTAGTTGTTGATGAATGTCTTTAGTTTGCTGGGAATACCTTTCATGACGCGCCAAGTCTCTCAACCATCACAGAGAAGTACTGACTTGACTGAATTTGTGTTGAAAATCTGGATGTTGTTCACGCTTTATTCTGAGTGCAGTGCAGAAGATCTCCACACTCGTTTCAGATTAATAAAATGAGGCCTGTGTTGTTTTTTCGATCCTGGCTGGTTTTGACATCCTCATCTGTGCCTGTGCCGCCTGTAGTTGAAACGATGCTGCCCTAGGTAGGTGTAGGTGGAAGAGGCTAATTCCTTTAAGCTTCTCCCATTGATGGTGATTGGTGCTTGTTGTAGGTGGTGGTGTTGTTGGTTGGGTATTTTCATCGCCCCTTTCTGTCTTCTCTACATTCACTTGAAGTCCCGTATTCTCTGTCCTGCCTCTTCTGTCAACTTGTTAGTTTTCGCCTGTAGATCTTCGAGTTTGTGTGACATTAAACACAAGTCATGATGTATAACAACCTGAAATGAATAAATTCTTACAAATTTCATAATTGAAAACATTATAAATTATAGATAAGGTTAAGAAATTGTTTTTTGATAACTTTCTCAAGTTTATATCACTAATTTCTTTCATTTTCTTTCCTTAGTAAATGCTCTTTTTCCAGATTTAGCCAATTATGTATATTTATTTGCACCTGTTCAATTGATTGTTCTTAATCCATTCGCTTATTTCCTTTTGGAATTGGAACGAGTTAAATCAAACACTGGAGAGTTGAAACCATTAATGAATAATAGAATGGAGATAATGAATAGTCAAGAAAATGCTAATTCATTGATTTCAAACGGAAACCGATTCCGTCAATTTATGCAGGTGAGGATTTTATTTAAGGATAGCTGCTGTTGCTGCTGCTGCTGCTGGTGTTACTGTTGCTGTTTTTCTTTTTTTGGTATTATCATTAGAGAGAAATGAGAGTATATGTTCTAATGGGATACATCTCAATTGATTAAATCGAAATGATACTATGCAACTGAGTAGATATGTGGTCAATATGCTGGAATTAGTAACTGACGACTACATTCAAAATTGTAACCGTTTCTAAAGGTTGGATTGTGAATGGTGATTACAAAAAGTGATAAACTTGCTAAAGAATCCGATCTCATGCATATGCTTAGTGTCATTGATATAGAGATGTGATCGAAAGTGGTTGTACTGGATATTTATCATTATTATTATTTGTCCCTTGGGTTCCTAGGGGAACATACGACTTCACTAGCACGTTGTCATTCCACTCTCTTCTCTGCAAACTTTTCAACCTGGCGCCACGACAACCCACAAGCTCCCATTTCTTCCTCACACCATCTCTTCCATATCACCCTCAGCTGCGACGCCCAACTCGTCTCTACCCATCTGGGTTCCACTCGAGTACCTGTTCTGGCGCGTGATGTCCCCAGTCAGCCTTCTCAGTGTATGCCAATTCAATCCATCTCCACTTCCTTCCAGTGCATATTTGTTGAGTAATAGGTTCTTGCTTAGTTGGTTCGTTGGCAGACCAGAGTTCCTTGTTGCTGAGTGTTTCTGGCAATCCATCTGAGCTTCATTGACGAGTGGGTGTAGGTAGTTGTTGATGAATGTCTTTAGTTTGTTGGAAATGCCTTTCATGACGCGCCAAGTCTCTCAACCATCACAGAGAAGTACTGACTTGACTGAATTTGTGTTGAAAATCTGGATGTTGTTCACGCTTTATTCTGAGTGCAGTGCAGTGGATCTCCATACTCGTTTCAGATTAATAAAATGAGGCCTGTGTTGTTTTTTCGATCCTGGCTGGTTTTGACATCCTCATCTGTGCCTGTGCCGCTTGTAGTTGAAACAGTGCTGCCTAGATAAGTGAAAGAGGGGTTGTACTGGATGCTATCCGCTTATCACTTAGTTGTAAAGATAGAAAAAGAATAATATCAAAGTAGACAATTATGTAAGAGAATAAACACTCAAGGTTAGTGCGAACATTTAGACTTTAGAACACATGAAGGAGTGAATAAAATTACATCACAGTGACCAGTTTTAAGTTATGTCACTATGAGTTCGCAACTGCTGATTCTTATCGTCTCGTGGACTACAGTTAGGTAGTCTACATCTCTACGCTGACTGGTATCACTTCTCGGTCCTGTCACTCTGAATCGTCTTCCAGCTTAATTCAACTTCCTTTAACATGGCATGAAGGGGTAGGCGGTGGCTTGGCATACGCAACACATTTTCAAGTCATCTCAATCGATGAAGGTTGACAATGATATCAATCGATTCGCTTATCTTGTCTAGTACCCTTTGCCTGATCTCACATATCATTCAAATGTACAGCTTCTGAAAATGATTCATTAAAAGAAAAAAAATTGTGTTGTTCACCTACTATTGAACTTGTCAATGAGTCGTAGTTGTGTGTATGCAGTTTTGTTTAATCTTTCAAACTTTTGCTCGTCGTTATACAGGTTCTCTTCAATGTGCTGAAGAACCCATTACTCTTTATGACTGTAATTGGTGTCATCTTTAATTTCATTCTGAATCATCACTTACCTATCTATGTGGATGGTTTGCTCAAGGTTATTGGTAAGTGTATTTGTCTCTTATCTTGCTAAGGCTAATGTATATATTTTTCGTAACAATCTTTTAATATTCATCTTGGTGACTGAGAGGGGAACCCAGGATACACTCTTCGTCGTATTTGGGACTCCTCAACTGGGTGTGTACCTGCACCCCAGTTAGTGGTGTTATTCCCACTGAGACTTGAACTTAGGACCTATCACTTTAAACGCCAAAACGTTATCCACTGGGGCATAAGAGCCACTTTTTGTGCAACAGGTATCAGTTGTTGTTTATTGATACTTGTAATTTCTCGTTGCTATACGGTGTCGAATCTCTTGACCATCCAGCTGATGACTCCTAAATGGAGGAAAACGCGCGTTCTGGGTTCCACTGCTAGTCACCAAGATGAATATAACACTATGAATATTTCGGTGTATCGTGACATCCGCATTGGAGTTCATCTGCCAACAGAAGTCGAGCAATTCTGCTCTGTGAAGCAACGAGAAATTACAAGCATCGGTGAACAACAATTCGCTAATACTACTTATTGACATACTTGTTATTCTCGTTGTTTTTTGGATTGAATTGTCCGACCTCAGTGGGAACAGCATCACTCACTGGGGTGGATGTACATCTAGTTGGTGAATGAGTTTCAAATAGGACAAAACGCGCGTCCTGGATTACTATGCTAGCCACAACCACCAAATTATCATGCTTAACATCCAGGCAATATCGAGGCATCCGCGTAGGAGCCCATATGCCAATAAAGGTTGAACAATTCAATCCAACAAAACAACGGAGAATAACAAGGGTGTCAATAAATAGTAATAACTACTACCCGTTGTAGAAGATGTGGCTGTCGTTCCTCCGTGACATAGTGAGTAACATCTTGACTTTTGAAGCAATGGGTATGAAGTTCGAGTCTCAGTAGGGAACAACATGACTCACTGAGGTGCAGGTCCATCCGGCTGACGAGTCCCAAATAGGACGAAACGCGCGTCCTGGATTCCTTTGCTAGCCAAAATCAACCAAATTTTGACAGTTTGCTAAGCTTATTCTTTTATTTTTGGTTTTGATGATAATTTACTAATTCGGGACGCTTCTTTTTACATGCATCACTGAAACTTTCTGTGGAATAGTAAATGTGTTCAGAGATGAAAGAATGTTGGCTGGTAGATAGCGGGTTTCGCTAACTGGGTGAATGAAGTAAACTCTAAATCGTTCTTGTCAGTCATAATATGCTTGTGAAAAAGTCTTCATAAAGCATGAGAATTTGATCATCTAATATGCTTGAAGTTGTTTTTTATCGCCGACTACCGGTAACCATGAACGTTTTCTGTTGTAATAGCTATCATCTAGCAAGAAGCTGTAACTCATTGGTTTAGGTAGATGACTTTCAATCACTGAGTCATGAGGTTTAAGCTTTATTTCACCTGTCAAGGTTAAGGCTCTATCATTTAAAAACATACGATTTTTTTCACATCAGATGTACATTAAAGTTGTCAACTGAATGATTTATTTCCTTATAACTCTCATATTCTGTCAATGGACATCATTTTAGGTACATCTGACTTTTAAGTGAAGAATATTGTTTTCAATTAGATCCTCTTCAGGCTTTACTCTAATACAGATAGCTTATCATTTGACTATCTGAGATAACCGTCGTTTGGCAGACTAGTATTTATACTGGATGATGATTGAATGTGAGATGAAAATCTGGACCGCGGCCGGATTCGAACCGGCAAACACGGGTTGGAATCCGGCCGCGGTCCAGATTTTCATCTCACCTTCAATTATCACCCAGTACAAATAGCTTAATATATATAAATAAACCAATCATGTAGATTTGTCTGTTGATGTAGTAAATGCTTTAAAATAACGATAATGATATTAGTACAAATTATAATAATGATAGTAGTGATAACGTTGAATAAAGCACATACAATATTGATGATGATGATAAGAACCAAGAGAGCAGTATGAAAATGTAGACACTCCGATAATAAACGTGGGTGAAAAGCTTACTTGGGAAAATAGAAGTTACGTAATACTGAAGGACGAGGCAAGTGGATAAACAAAGCCTAGACAAATACAGTACGTATATGAAAGGGATAAAGAATAAGAAAAGGAGTACGAAAAGAAAACTGAATGATGAAGTTACTGACTAAGTATTCCCTGGCCAAGGAGAGATAAGGGATATACAAATTTCTTCTGGATACAAAGACTAGGATTATTAGCTCGAATTCCCACAGCTTCTGCTATGTGTAAAAGACGAGTTTGAATACATTTCGAAAGATAAGATGGTATGAGATGAATGATCGTGAGAGCATTGTTCTTATCTACCAAGTGACCACTATCAACAAAGTGAGATAAAACCGAGCTCCCGATGGATTTTATCTGTCTGTTTCCCAACCATGAAGGTAGATGCTCAGCAACACGTTTGTTAAGTTGTCTAGTAGTTTGCCGTATACAGCTTTCTCCACAAGAGCAGCTAAACTTGTAAATACACATAGAAATGGCAAAACTAGATGCCTTATCTTTCGTCTGAGCAGTAACAATTGGTAAACTGGAAAATGATAGATGGAGTTGTGTGGCGTAGAAGGTCCTCTTAATGGCTCTAGAGAGTCTCTGATATAAAACTTCTCCGGTTACATCCTCATTGAATTGTAATTTCATAAACAATGATTTCTTTTGTACGGCGATAATTCCATATTTTTCTCGCTCTCTTAGTGAGGCATTTAAGCAGGTTTGCTTTGTACCGAATGGGTACATGACTAAACAAATGTGCATACTGGCTTATTGATGTGGTCTTCCTGTTAACATATGTGCTGAGTGAACTATTTCTTCTGCTTAGCAAGACATCCAAAAAGTGTAGTTTTACTGGGATTTTCTTCCTCATAAGTGAAAGTGAGTGAAGGGTGCACCTCATTAAATTTTCTTAACACTTCGTTTGTATCCACATTCTGATCCAGAATAATGAATGTGTCGTCAATATAATGGTGATACATAGTCATCTTATTCATGACATCTTTTAATGTTTCGTTCTCCAGCTTAGCAAGAAATATATATCAGTTAAAATAGGGCCGAGTGGTGAACCTATAGCTATTCCATCAATCTGTCTATAATGAGGGCTATTGTAGACAGAATATGCATTTATGAATATACCCAACCAACAACAAGCATGAATCGCCATGAACGGGAGAAATCTGAAGGACGTTGTCTCTTTCATCTACCTACCTACGTAGCTAGCTACCTGGCTACCTAGGGGGCAGCATCGTTCCAACCACAGGCGGCACGGGCACGGGCACAGGCACAGGCACAGATGAGGATGTGAAAGGCAGTCACGATCGGTAAGACAACAAGACAGGTTTTTCTTTCATTCGTTAGTCTGAAATCGGTGTGGAGATCTGCGTGCACTGCAGTGCAGTGCAAGGAACCGACCAACCAGGAACCTATCACCTAATATATATGCAGGAGAAGAATGTGTAGATAGGTTGGATTGTACATACACTGAGAAGACGGTTTGGTGACGTCACGCACCAGGTCAGGTTGTCGATTTGAACGGAAATAGGAAACGATGAGTTGGGCGTCCGTGGTGAGGGTGACATGGATGAGATTGTGTGAGGAAGAAATGAAAGGTTGTGAGCATTTGTGGAGCTGTGCTGAAGAGACTGTAGAGATCAGAGTGTTATGTTGACGTGGTACTGAAGCTCTATGTTCCACTGGGAACCCAAGGGACAAATGATAATGATAATTCGATCCCTTACTCTCACCAGTATGGTTTTTAATCGATGCCATTTCTACTTAACAAGTATACGTGAAAAAAATATGTAACCATTTTTTTAGTACACAAAATTTGCTTGGAAATGTCAAACTCTACATGCTTATAATTACTCTTTGTATGATTTCTTTTTTCTCATTTATGAAGCTGATTCTTTTTGTGCCACTGCTTTATTCTCACTTGGATATGGTATGGTTGGAAAGATGGCCACTGTTACACAAAGAGAAGGTTACATTTTATCGATTATCCTGTTGACAAAACTGTAAGTTCGTTATGTAGTTGTCTATCGGTGAGTATGTGTGTGTGTGGTTGTTTCACTGCACCCTTGATAGGAAAGCTATCTAGTTGTAGACTATCGAAGGTAGTCAGTAGTAAGATCTGAACTAAGGGTTTATTCTTGTTTTCTGACGTCAACAGGATATATATGCAGTGTCAATCGGAATAGTGCTCTCTCTTAATATCTGGGATCCCCTGTCATTCTGTATTGTGGTCATAAAAATTACCAGCGAGCGAGTTATTCTCATCTTGATTAACCTAACGTTGGACTGGAGTATGCTCACTAACTGATAACTGGACAGTAAGTATAATGCACTTTCGTCTTGTCCTGAGTATCAATACAACCGTATCAATCAAGTGGGTAAAGTTTTTGGCTTTGGGTTAAATCAAATTAAGGTTAGAAAGCATACAAGCAGCTATCAACAATATAGAACGTATAATGCATAGTCTTTGCTGTATAGTGCATGTGAGCATTATTTTTATTGCGGACTGGTATTAGCTAGATAAATGTTGTAAACCTGGTTACAGTGCTATGCCCCACCAGTCTAGGACCCCTTAGTGATTCATTACGCTTAACTTCATGCAGAAGACGGTCTCTGTTCAGCTAGTGGAGATGTGACTCATTGGTCTGGATGCTCGATTTCCAACCTCTGGGTCATGAATTTCAGCCCTACTTTACCTACGGAAGTCTAAACAGCCAGGTAACATCACTAGCCGAAGACGTTATCCTGCTAGACGCAGACACTGAGGGAATGTAGGGTCTTCTAAACTGAAGGGGTAGATCAGAAATCTGAGTGTTTAGTATGTCTCACTCGGACCTGTGTTCTTCCGGTTTAAGAATAAAGAGGGAAGTTTTGAGGTGCGTTGACCACTTCGCTTAGTTGCAACCAGCAACGGGCTGGTCGCTGACAAGATCTCAAATAGGACATAGAGGGCTTTTTTAGGTCTCTTCAGCGTTCATGTTGTCTGGAGCCGACTGGCGAGATATCCAACTATCTATTGAAAGATTGATGATGGAGTTGTGCAACATGATTTGAACTGTGATGTGAAAAAATTATAGGTTTTTGACCACTGGTGTCCTCACACCACTGCTCGCATATGTCGGAAACACTGTATGAGGAACGTCGAGGGGAAACAAAGGGTCCTAAGATAGGAAAGCAAGTCAGTTGATGAGCTTGGAAAGCTTCAGCATATGCTGTGCATGCTGAGCTACCACTTTCCTCGAAATGCAGTTCCAGCAAAGGTTCGATATGGTTATAAGTGGGTGTTAGGGTGGCCATATTGAGACATGGCAGCAGTCGCTAAAGTTTTTCTCTTGATGTTGGCCGTGTGTGTAGGTGTCGACAGCGTGTTTGGAGTCGTCGAGATTGTTGTAATCAGAGGTTGAGTAGTTGTTGAGAAGTGTGAAAATGTGTGATAATGGTGTGTACATATTTACTGTTTGATATCTTCTGAAGCTTCAGTGTTTTGACTGACCGGAACAGGCTGGATACAAGAAGTATAAATCATGTGCGGACCAAATTGCAACGGTACGCATCATCATAGAACAGAGCATAGAATGGCAGTCAACTCCACCTCAACTTCATCGACTTTGAAAAGGCCTTCGACAGCGTCGACTGAGAAGTAATTTGGCAGTTGCTTCAACACTATGGAATACCACAAACATTTATCAACCTCATTCCATAGCTGTATGCGAAGTGATTAACAAAGAAAAGCGCAATGATGCCTTTGAAACGAAGACAGGTTGACAGGTAAGACAAGGTTGCCTCCTACTCTCACTGATGATCTTTCTGATTGTGGTCGACTAGATCATGCAACAAACCGTGAGGAGCTAGAAGAAGGGGATACGCCGGCTGGACCGGGGAAAAATTCTAGAAGATTTGGATTTCGCCGATGTCTTGTATCTAATGTCACACAAACTCGAAGATCTACAGGCGAAAACTAACAAGTTGACGGAAGAGGCAGGACAGAGAATACGGGACTTCAAGTGAATGTAGAGAAGACAGAGAGAGGTGATGAAAATACCCAACCAACAACACCACCACCTACAAGAAGCACCAATCACCACCAATGGGAGAAACTTAAAGGAATTAGCCTCTTTCACCTACACCTACCTAGGGCAGCATCGTTTCAACTACAAGCGGCACAGGCACAGATGAGGATGTCAAAACCAGCCAGGATCGAAAAAACAACACAGGCCTCATTTTATTGATCTGAAACGAGTGTGGAGATCTTCTGCACTGCACTCAGAATAAAGCGTGAACAACATCCAGATTTTCAACACAAATTCAGTCAAGTCAGTACTTCTCTGTGATGGTTGAGAGACTTGGCGCGTCATGAAAGGTATTCCCAGCAAACTAAAGACATTCATCAACAACTACCTACACCCACTCGTCAATGAAGCTCAGATGGATTGCCAGAAACACTCAGCAACAACGAACTCTGGTCTGCCAACGAACCAACTAAGCAAGAACCTATCACTCAACAAATATGCACTGGAAGGAAGTGGAGATGGATTACGCATGCACTGGGAAGACCATTCGGGGATCTCACTCGTCAGGCCTGGTAGTCGAGTAGAACCCAGATAGGAAACGACGAGTTGGGCGTCCCAGCTGAGGGTTATATGGAGGAGATGGTGTGAGGAAGAAATGGGAGCTTGTAGGCTGTCGTGGCGCCAGGTTGAAAAGTTTGCAGAGAAGAGAGTGGAATGGCAACGTGCTAGTGAAGTCGTATGTTCCCCTAGGGACCCAAGGACAAATAGTAAATAATAATAGTTGACTGGTAGAGAAATATTTGAAGTGGATTGTGTTATAGTAAACTTATAAAATTTATAATTTCTAGGAAGGTTGCTAGTGAAGTTTTTAGTGATGTACTGATACTGCAATATGTCCAATCGTTTACACTTATTTCTTTCTTTATTTTAACAGTTTAATTGTACCATTTATTACTCGTGAACTTGTTGTTCGTATGATGCCTGTTTCACTGTCCAATGAAACTTTACGTTATTCCACTTTTGGTTTCTTGTATGGTACAACGCCAACAGCTCCACCTGTCTATTTATTCGCCGCTGAATATCAAGTTATTCCTGTGGCTGTAAGTTTCTAGATACTTTTTTTTCCTTAACGTTGTTTTATTAGTCTAGGGATTTTGTACTCACACAGTAGAATCGATGACCTGCGTTTCCTTCTATTTGGAACTCCTTATCAGCTGGATTTACCTGCACAGCATTGAGTGTTGTTCGTATTGGAATTCGAATCCAGTGCCAATCACTTCAAACACTAGAGTGTTATCTACTGGGCCACTGGTGTACCATTTGTTGTTTTCTGATACTTGTAATTTCCCGTCAGTTTAAGGACTTCTTGATCTGGAAATGTCAACTAGTTCTGTCCTGTAGTTGGATTCAAGAAAACTTAAAGGAAATGCAATATCTACCAGTGTATATCCAATCGAATCCACCTACACATTCTTCTTCTGCATATATATTAGGTGATAGGTTCCTGGTTGGTCGGTTCCTTGCCAGCCACAGTTCCTCCTCACATATTCTCATTATTCTCACCAACTCATCTGATCTTCAGTATCGAGTGAGTGTGGACACCAGCTGTTGATGATGTATATCTGCAGTTTGTTGGAAATGCTTTTCGTAACGCGCCAAGTCTCTCAACCATCACATAGCAGCAAGCACTGACTTACTTGACTGACATTAGTAGTGTTGAAAATCTGGATGTTGTTCACGCTTTATGCCGAGTGCATTGCACTGCACTACACTGCACTGCACTGCAGTGCACGCAGATCTCCACACCGATTTCAGACTAATGAATGAAAGAAAACCTGTCTTGTTGTCTTACCGATCGTGACTGCCTTTCACATCCTCATCTGTGCCTGTGCCCGTGCCCGTGCCCGTGCCCGTGCCGCCTGTAGTTGGAACGATGCTGCCCCCTAGGTAGCCAAGTAGGTAGCTAGGTAGCTAGGCAGATGAAAGAGACAACCTCCTTCAGATTTCTCCCGTTCATGGTGATTCATGCTTGTTGTTGGTTGGGTATATTCATCACCTGTATCTTTTACTTTATACGTTCACCTGAAGGAAGTCTCGTCTTCCTTGGCTGCCTTGTCCAGCTCTGCCCATCCCTGCCTCGCCTCTCCCCTCCCCCCCCAACTTGTTAGTTTTTGCCTGTACATCTTCGAGTTTGTGAGACATATGACATTACACATAAATCATCATCGGTGAAATCCAAATCTTCTAGGGTCCTTTCATCAGTAAAACAGCTTATGCCTATCTTCTCACAGCTCCTCACAGTTGTTTCTTGCATGATCCAGTCGAATCGAGTTGAGTCGACCACAATCAGGAAGATCATCGTGAGAGTAAGCGGCAACCTTGTCTCACCTGTCAACCTGTCTTCACTTCGAAGACGTCATTGCACTTCCCATTGTCAATCACTTCGCATGTAGCACCATGATCATCATCATCACATAGGTGGTGGTGTTGAATGAGGTTGATAAAGGTTTGTGTCACTAAAAGCGTAGTGTTTAAGCAGGTGCCAAATTACTTGTCGGTCGACGCTGTCGAAGGCCTTTTTGAAGTCGATGAAGTTGAGGTGAAGAGTTGACTGCCATTCTGAGCTCTTTTGTAGGATGGTGCATAGCTTGGCGTTGCAATTTGATCCACATATGAATTTGTTTTTCCTGAAAAGCTAGCCAGCTAGTGTGTTCCGATTTTAATTCTGAATCCAGAGGATTTTTTTTGTCTCTCCAGGATGATGCGGCATAATATTTTGCTTGGGGCGGGCAGGTGTCTTAGAGGTTATTCCTTTGGAATATATCCTTTACTATTTTTTCCTGGTTTTTAGTTTTGAGTGGAGTGTAGAAATAGTCCACGTTGTATAAAATGCAGGGTTTTGAAACGTTATGAGCAGAAATCTGAGTATGTTCGGCATGTGTTTCGCTGGCACCTGTGAAGTTTAAAATGATCCTCCAGGATTGGTATGCAACTGCGCACAGTTTAGGGATAAGCAGTGAAATGGTGGTGTGTGTCAACCACTTTATTTATTTGGGGAGTAACATGAATTCGAATAGGCTGGTTGTTGATGAAATTTGAGGTTGAATGGAGAAGGGCCGATTGGTATTTTTCAACTTTCGTTACCTATGGCGCCGACTGTCGAGATAACAGACTACTTATCAAAAAACGAGTATACTGCGCTTCAGTACGTTTCATCCTTTTATATATGGCTATAAGAAGATATGAAGCGATTACAGAGTTTTGATCATAGATGTCTTCGTTAGAGTGCTCGCGTTTGATGAGATCACTGTGTGAAAAATGTTGCGGTCAGGCGAAGGATACTAGGCAAGATACACAAGTCGACCAATGAGGTTGTGAACTTTAGTCGACTGAGATAGCATATACCGAACTACCGCCTACCTCGACGTGCAATGCCAGAGGAAGTTGGATCAAGTTGGAAGAGGGTTCCGGGTGGTCAGTCGATGAAGTCTCTCACTGTTTGTCTAAATCGTGTAGGGAGATGTAAACTGTCTGGTTAAAGTTCTCGAGATTATAAGAAACAATGGTTGAAGACTGTTGATGACATAGCTGAGAATCAGTCACAATGGCACAGATGTATTCACTCTTCAACATCTAAATGTTGAATATTCGCACTAACCATTCTCCATTGGTTTCGTCAATCAGTCAGTGTAGCAGGATCTTAAGCGTTCGGCTCTTTCATACACTACACAAATAGCCATCTAAGTTCCATAGTTTAGTGTACAAACCTGAAAGTAATTGATTTGGGTTACCTTTGTTTTGTTTTTTTAAAGCAAAGATAAGCATTCTGCTTAGCTATCTCTCTCTCCGCTCTTGCACTGAGTATAACTCATTTTATTATTTCTTTTATAACAATAAAATAGTGCATTGTTTTTTTTAATGTTATAAACCCCGACAGAAAGTTAGCAGAAATCACTTTATATTTCCATTTATCTATATTGCACTCCTGTTTCATTTAATAATAAATATTTTCTTCGTTACCTCAATATCTATCATTCTAAGTATGGTTAGTTATTGGTTGATATTAGTGCTTTGAAAATTAACTAAGTGATTATCAAAAGAAATTGATGTATTCAGTGATAATCGAATTATATGTAAAGTATTTTAATGTACTCAATCATAAAGTGTATGTATAACATTATTATGATTTCAAATTGTTATAGCCACCAACTAAACTTGGATATTGACTGTTAATCATTACGTTCATTATTCCCATTGTGACATCAAAAACAAGATATTCAGCGAAGAGGACTCTTTTCAATGAATTTATTCTCAAGCTGTACATTCGTATATATATGATATTTAAAGACTGTAATCCATGAGGAAGATTTAACTGAAATAATGGGGGGTTGAAACAATAGTAATGATGATGGTGATAATTATAACGTTGATATTTGATGACGTAAAGGTCATATGATAACAAAAAAGGGGTTATGTAAGACTTTCAAATTGTTTATAAAGTGCACATAGAATAAAAGGGAGTGAGAACGTTAATAAACAATCAAAGGGTTAGGTAATATAAATGAGACAAGTTAATTGGAGTAAGGTAGCGGGTTCGATCCCTGCTGGTGGGGTCGTGGGTGCGCACTGCTGAGGAGTCCCATACTAGGACGAAACAGCTGTCCAGTGCTCCCAGGTTTCCTTTCTTCCTCCAACTGATGTCAGTCTTCGATGAATAACAACTTGAAATATTTCCAAATCTCCACAACCCCCTCAAAATTTAATTGAACTAGTGCTCGTTGGTGACTAGCTTCGAGAAGTATTCCCGAAGTTCCAATAACAAGTCGTGACCGGTGGAGTCAAAGCCTGATGGCCGTGAGGACAAATACTCAACGATGACATTGGGTGGCGGTTTGCGCTATATCGTGAGCTAACAGAAGTTGGAAATATGGAGCATTGGATTCTGACCCAGTGGCTCAATGGTAACGCGCTGGTCGCGGAACCTGAAGGTCGCGGGTTCGATCGCTGGTGGTGTGGGGTCGTGGGTGCGCACTGCTGAGGAGTCCCATACCAGGACGAAACAGCTGTCCAGTGCTCCCAGGTTTCCTTTGTTCCTCCAACTGATGTCAGTCTATGATGAATAACAACTTGAAATAATTGGAGTAAATTGGAAATGTTTTGTTAAGAGTTGTGATAATTAGGAAGATCAAATGAAATAATACCGGCAACAAATGAATACAAAAAACAGAGTGATAATGATGATATAAGAGTACAAAGATTAATCTGACAAAAAATGGGGAAGAGGTGAAAAATGAAAAAAGAGGACGAAGTGCACCAAGACTAAAATAAATTAAGGCCAAGGAAGAGACAAAGACTGTACGTACTTCTTTTGCACACAAAGGTTAGGCTTCAGTTGATGGATAGGCAAGACCTCTGCTGTTTTTAAAAGTTGAACACGCAGGAAACGTGAAGCGTTAGGGCGAATTCGATAGACAACCTTGAAATCCTTGTTTGGGTCGGCTGAATGGTTGGGATCGATTAAATGTTCAAGGATAGAACTTCTGATACATTTCCTTTGACCCTTATAAAACCAGGCCGGAATATGTTTTCGTATACGTGTTGACAGCAATCTCTGACTACGGCCGATGTACCTTGCTCCACAGGAGCAGGTGAACTGGTAGATACACATAGATGTGGCCTGTCGTGGGATATTGTCTTTAGTACAAACGGAGAACAATTTATGACTGGTAAAGATCAAGTGAAGTTTTGCTGCGAAAAAGGTCCTACTAATTGATCTGGAAAGACGATTTTTCAGGGTATCTGATGCTGCATCACCTTTGAAGTACAGGTTCATGAACAAAGTATTTTTTGAAACTGAGCTAGTGACTGGTTTCGCATGTGTTTCTGGCGTATTCTTATCGATAAATCCTCTAGGATAGCCGTTTTCCGCGAGCGTTCGTTTTAAAAGTCGAGTTCAAGTTGGACACACTCCGTGCTACAGATATTACGTATTCGATGGCACAATGAGCGGATGACGTTTCTCTTCCTCATGATCGGCACCCAGCTATAGAAATTGGTGAGTTGTCCATTCCATTGAACACAACTCAAGTCGATCACTGACAATCATGACATCATCTTAAGTCGTCCTGATAAAGGAGGGGGGGTGTCGTTCTGATGAGTCGTCAGGAATACGTCATGAAAATGTTATCGATGATCTCCGATTAAACTAAGTTTGATAAACCTACAGGTGAAAGGAACAGAACACAATAGATCGAGATCCAACTCACAGGTATCCTGAAGAAAATGAAGGATAATGCGTTGATTTCCTCTAGTTTGTATGAACACATCTGACCCGTTGGTTCAGTAATTGCACGTCTCTATGGATTGCTGAAAATACATAAAGCAGGATTACCTCTTCGCCCGATTTTGGATATGTCAGGTTCTCCTTATCATTGTATCGCCCAATAGTTAGCTGAGAAGTCAGCATCAGCATGTCATTGCTGGTCATCACTGACTGACATCAGTTGGAGGAACATTAAAAGTCTGGGAGCACTGGATAGCTTTTTCGTCCTAGTATGGGACTCCTAAGCAGTGCGCACCCCATGACTCCGACCTCCACAGGTCGAACCCAGGACCTTAAGGTTCCGTGACGACTGGGTCGAAATCGAATGGTTCATATTTCAAACTTCTGTCAGCTTACGATATAGCGCTACCGTCAACCAATGTCATCGTTGAGTATTTGTTCTCATGTCCATCAGGTTTCCCCCACCAGTCATGACTTCTCATTGGAACTTCAGGAATCATCTCTCGAAGCTAGTCACCAATGTGCACCATATTTCGACAAATCTCAGCGTGTTTGAAATAAGAAATTCCTTGTGTAAGCTCGAACCAGACTTCTATGCCTTGATCAGCATACATATAAACTTTCTGGTTATAATTGATACTATGTAGAACTGTACATCAATGTCATTAGGAATAAAAGAAAGGTTGACTGCCTTATTATTTAGTGTGTACCAAAGCGAAGTACCTTTTCATATTTGATTAATAGAGATACCTACATTAAGCGGAAAATGTTTTCTAAAATATTTCATCGTATACATATTATTCTTGGTTTCTTACCCCAGATTATAGTGTTTATCAACCGTCAATTTTAGTGTTAGATGTTACAAGAAACCGTGCTTGACTTTGGTTCCATGTTTATTGAGAATATCTAGTGCGGTGGTATCTGCCATCATGACACAACTCATATCCGCATTACGGTTTGTGTGTGTGTGTGTGTGTGTGTGTGTGTAGCTCAGTGCTGAATTTGCAGGCTGTACCACTTTTTCATGTCAATACCCTTATCTTTTCAATCTGTTTCTTCCTCTTGTTTTCCATCTTTTTGTTTTGTAAACTGCCTATTTGTAAGCGTTACTCTTTGCGCTACATGATGTCATAAGCATTTTTGTTCTAATAAGACAGGTGTATTGGATTTGAGGACAGATACTCAACTATGCCGTTAGATAGAAGTCGTGCTGTACTGTATAGTGACATAAATAGGCAATAAGGACCATTGGATTCCAACCTAGTGGCTCATTGGTAATGTGTTAGCCGTGGAACCTGAAGGTCCTGACTTCGATGATTGCGCTGCTGAGGAGCACCATACTAAGACGAATTAGCTGTCCAGTACTCCCAGGTTTTCAATATTTCTCCAACTGATGTCAGTCTATCATGAATGCCAACTTGAAATCAATAAACAAATCCCTACAAACCTCTAAATTGAAAAATTCCAAATTAAACAGTATACCGCTGTTTAAATATACTTTCTGAGTATATGAAATACTTAGAGTAGAGTTAATCAATCAGAGAGGATAAACTTCTGAGTTTATTTTAGGAGATCATTATTGAATTGGATACAGAAGAAGAGGCTTTTGACAATGTACGTAAAGTAAAACAGACGAAAATAAACAACTACGGACTCAATATTGCCACGTAACTCGTCAACTAAACATACTGCACATCAAGATGCCAAGGTAGAAATCAATAATCTTAAACAAAGCAAGAACAACAGCTTTAACACAATAGCTTAGATCCACTTCATTTCATATTTTCTCATCAAATAAAAACAATTTTTAACATCCATCCATATTGAATATTCACACACTCGAATCAACTTAGTCACAGAAAATTGTCAGCTAGGAGGAATCAACCAGTCGGAAGAGAAGTGGATGCTAACTGAAGACCTTGGGTGACAGTCGCGTTATGTAGTGAATTGACAAAAGTTGGAAATTGTCAACCACTGGAAACCGACCCAGTGACTGAATGGTTAACGCGTTCGCCGTGAAACCTGAAGATCCTGAGTTGGATCCTTAGCCGAGTCGTGGGTGCGTACTGTTGAGGAGTCCCACCCTGGGACGAAACAGCTGTCCAGTGCTCCCAGATTTTCAATGGTTCTCCAACTGATGTCAATCCATGATGAATACTACTTATACATATATGAAGTGATTGAAAACACATGAGTTGAATAAATATACAGATGATATATAGAAGGATTCGACGAATATTCCAGAGTGGAAGTTGGGTATGAGGAGTGGGTGGGTGTACAAGTGTATTCAACGTATCAAGAAAGCTTACACAAAATATATGAAAGTTCATATGAATTGTGTTAACTAGGAGCTAATGTGAGTAGGATTCAGATAAATTACATCAAGGGTGAGAAAAGCACATGCTTGTAATTTTGCGTTGTTTTACCGGATTGAATCGTTTGACCTCTACTGGCATAAGAGCTCTTATGCAGATGCCTCGATATTGTCTGAATGCTAATTATGGTAATTTAATTGATGGTGGTTAGCATTGTAATTCGTCTTGCTTGAGACTTGTCAGCTTGATGCACCTTTATTCTAGTGAGTCATGTTGTTCCCACTGAGACTCGAGGCTCGTACCCATTGCTTCAAACACCTAGGCGTTATCCACAAGGCCACAGAGGCACGATAGCCACCTCAATAGAGAATTATAAACATATCAACAAATACTTATACCATTGTTGTTTAATATGATTGATTATAAAACTACTGACAGCAGTGGCACTTCACTTAATAGCTAGTGATTAGCTGAAAGAGATTAACAATGATTAACTGGGTGTGTATTTGCAAAAGTTTCATGCCAAAACACTAAATGTCAAGATATCAGAGGCGCTTGAGGTGATTATCTACAAATGAGCTGACATAAGACTTTAATGAGTGTTAATTACCATAATTAATATTCAGGTAATATCAATGGACATCGAACAATTTGATCTAGTAAAATAACGGAGAATTACAAATATATGCATAAATTGTAATAACGAATACCCGTTGTAAAGGAGGTGGCTTTCGTGCATCCATGGCTTTGTGGATAACGCCTAGGTGTTTGAAGCAATGGGTACGAGCCTCGAGTCTCAGTGGGAACAACATGACTCACTAGAATAAAGGTGCATCAAGCTGACAAGTCTCAAGCAAGACGAATTACAATGCTAACCACCATCAATTAAATTACCATAATTAGCATTCAGACAATATCGAGGCATCTGCATAAGAGCTCTTATGCCAGTAGAGGTCAAACGATTCAATCCGGTAAAACAACGCAAAATTACAAGCATGTGCTTTTCTCACCCTTGATGTAATTTATCTGAATCCTACTCACATTAGCTCCTAGTTAACACAATTCATATGAACTTTCATATATTTTGTGTAAGCTTTCTTGATACGTTGAATACACTTGTACACCCACCCACTCCTCATACCCAACTTCCACTCTGGAATATTCGTCGAATCCTTCTATATATCATCTGTATATTTATTCAACTCATGTGTTTTCAATCACTTCATATATGTATAAGTAGTATTCATCATGGATTGACATCAGTTGGAGAACCATTGAAAATCTGGGAGCACTGGACAGCTGTTTCGTCCCAGGGTGGGACTCCTCAACAGTACGCACCCACGACTCGGCTAAGGATCCAACTCAGGATCTTCAGGTTTCACGGCGAACGCGTTAACCATTCAGTCACTGGGTCGGTTTCCAGTGGTTGACAATTTCCAACTTTTGTCAATTCACTACATAACGCGACTGTCACCCAAGGTCTTCAGTTAGCATCCACTTCTCTTCCGACTGGTTGATTCCTCCTAGCTGACAATTTTCTGTGACTAAGTTGATTCGAGTATGTGAATATTCAATATGGATGGATGTTAAAAATTGTTTTTATTTGATGAGAAAATATGAAATGAAGTGGATCTATGCTATTGTGTTAAAGCTGTTGTTCCTGTTCTATTTTGTGAAGGGAAAAAGGTTTTATGAAATAGAAATAGACGATCAGAAATTGTACCGGAGGTAAACGATTAAGAATATTCTAATGTATAATATTTTATCATTCAAATCAAGGTAAGGCATCATTTCAACTGCGTCACTTTAATTGATTTTTGAGCTACATCGCATAAAGTCTTCAATGTCGGCTATCAGTTGTCTTGTAGACTACGACATCGTAAAGGAGTCGTCATTTCTCTACCCTACGTAAAGCCATGATCGTGATATATGTCATTGATTATTGCCAGTTCTTGGTTTGTTTGCTCATCGCTCATCGATATTATGGGTTTAGTGATTGATTTTTAAAATTGATAAACCGTCTAGTTGTAATCCAAGTTTATCAACTTATGTTTTATATTATCGCTTGTTTTTTTATTCGGTCTACATAGATTGGTATTGGTCTTGTCTTGGGAACATTTCTTTCTGCACCTATAATGTTCCTTTTTGCTCGTATTATTATGCTGTATACTGCTACACCGTCAGATTATGTGAATATCCTTAGCAAGACAGTTGAAGATGTTTCTTGGATAAGTATTGTGTGTTGTGTAAGTTATAATTTGATGAATGTATCATATCACTATTTAAAGTTTTATTAACTACAACCGGATCAACTTACATTACTATCGAAGACTTGACATAGTTTAGTAATCCAAAGATGTGTGACTTATCAGTTTATACCTTTGCATTTCTATCAATCAGTTATGCATTTCAGACAAGTAGGTCATAGGTTTGAGCCGAGCTCCACTTACCGAGGTTTGGCCATCTCTACGATGCCCTGTGTTGACTAGGTACACAAGTATGAAACTTTTCACCACTTCCACTTCACTCTTTCCGAACTAAGCTAGTCAATGGTTTCACATCTGGATATGCACCCGCCTAATCTAACACCCTGTGTAAGTTGTTCCACTGGAACAGTTAGTTTGATGCATGCAGGATGAAGGAGTAAGATTAGGTAGGCTATCCTTTAGTTTCAGATTGAGGATTGGCCAACTACGGAAAGGTATGCAAAGACGACCTGGATAAAACATCCTATTGACTACTGTAGCTAGATGTTGTGATAGGACTTCACTTAAAGCATTCTCTATGAACTGTAAACGTAGAAATACAGGCTTCTCCGCTGTTATCGATTCTTGTTTAGAATCAATGTAATTTATGTTAGCTTTGATGAACTTATCCAGGTATCTGTTTTCGCTTATAATATGATGAATATGCGGTTCTTCTTTTTCGATACACTCCATGGAATAAATCGATCTCACTCTAAATACTAGGTACCTTATTATATTACATTTTTTACTTCAACGGTACCAAGCTGAGAAAGTGCGTATACTGTGCTTTAGACGTTAGTTTTCTATGCATACTTCTTAGTATAGAGACATCTTTGTTACTTGTCATTAGCACATCAAGAGAATGTATCGAATCATTGATATAATTTTCATACATAAAATAAACTGATGGATGAGGACTGTTGAAAATACTTTAGAAAAGAATTAATGCATAAACACTTATCAAAAACTGGAAACGTATCATCCATATATCGACAATCCAACTCATAATTGATAATTTAATCTCTCAAAGTACCATTTTCTGATTTCGTCATAATTTCTCATTAGAGGGAATTTAGTGAACAAAGATGTGACATCAAGGGATCGTATGAATTTGTTTAAAACATTTAAGTTTTTCACTGCTTCTGCGAACTGGAAGGTGTCTTGTACGCTAAATTAATAATCCCTAAGACGCTTGATGTACTTGTAGTTCTCTGTTGTTTTACTGGGTTGAATTGGCATGTGGAGCTCCTATGCAGATGCCTGAATATATTACCTGAATATACCCGCTGTACAAGAGGTGGCCATCGTGCCTCAGTGGCTTAGTGGATAACGGTTTGGCGTGTGAAGCAATTTTTACGAGTGACAGTGGGAACAACATCTCACTGGGGTGCAGGTACATCCAGCTGACCATTGAGTACCAAATAGGATGAAATGCGCGTCAAACTGGATACTTCTGCTAGCCACAACCAAGTAAATTACACTTATGTAATGTGTTTTAAACTTATGTGTAGTTTTATCGTCAATTTTAACTGCTTGTTTTTTAAAAACATTTTACCTTTAGATCTGGACATTAGGAGTAATTTGTTTCAGCAGAAAGCTACTCGAGTTCCTTATCGATTCACACTCTGTTATATAATATGTGTGCTCCTCTCATGTACTGGACTGTTGCTTGGACGTCTAATAAATCAGTATTCTAATACTGGGATGAGTACAAATGGTTAGTTGTATTGACTATATAATAGGTTGTTATCTTATAGTCTTGGGAACAATCCTATCACATAAATTTTTTTTTGTGGCTTTCTTCATCATGGTAGACGAAACCGCTGGATTTTTGTGAAATGTACCCACCAGGATATGAAAGAAGAACAAGTATACTTCAACGAAGAGACTCTTTTCGGCGATTTCATTTTCAAAGTTGTAGAATCGCAAATTCACATATTTTTCTAGTGTAAGGTAGAGAGTTGAGCGTAGAATGGCAGTCAACTCTTCACCTCAACTTCATCGACTTCAAAAAGGCCTTCGACAGCGTCGACCGACAAGTAATTTGGCACCTGCTTAAACACTACGCTTTTAGTGACACAAACCTTTATCAACCTCATTCAACACCACCACCTATGTGATGATGATGATCATGGTGCTACATGCGAAGTGATTGACAATGGGAAGTGCAATGACGTCTTCGAAGTGAAGACAGGTTGACAGGTGAGACAAGGTTGCCGCTTACTCTCACCGATGATCTTCCTGATTGTGGTCGACTCAACTCGATTCGACTGGATCATGCAAGAAACAACTGTGAGGAGCTGTGAGAAGATAGGCATAAGCTGTTTTACTGATGAAAGGACCCTAGAAGATTTGGATTTAACCGATGATGATTTATGTGTAATGTCTTATATCTCACAAACTCGAAGATGTACAGGCAAAAACTAACAAGTTGAGGGGGGGGAGGGGAGAGGTGAGGTAGGGATGGGCAGAGCTGGACAGGGCAGCCAAGGAAGACGAGACTTCCTTCAGGTGAACGTATAAAGTAAAAGATACAGGTGATGAATATACCCAACCAACAACAAGCATGAATCACCATGAACGGGAGAAATCTGAAGGAGGTTGTCTCTTTCACCTACCTACCTAGCTAGCTACCTGGCTACCTAGGGGGCAGCATCGTTCCAACTACAGGCGGCACGGGCACGGGCACGGGCACAGGCACAGATGAGGATGTGAAAGGCAGTCAGGATCGGTAAGACAACAAGACAGGTTTTCTTTCATTCATTAGTCTGAAATCGGTGTGGAGATCTGCGTGCACTGCACTGCACTGTAGTGTAGTGCAGATATACATCATCAACAGCTGGCGTCTACGCTCACTCGATACTGAAGATCAGATGAGTTGGTGAGAATAATGAGAATATGTGAGGAGGAACTGTGGCTGGCAACGAACGGACCAACCAGGAACCTATCACCTAATATATATGCAGGAGAAGAATGTGTAGATAGGTTGGATTGTACATACACTGAGAAGACGGTTTGGTGATGTCACGCACCAGGTCAGGTTGTCGATATGAACGGAAATAGGAAGGGACGAGTTGGGCGTCCATGGTGAGGGTGACATGGATGAGATGGTGTGAGGAAGAAATGAAAGGTTGTGAGCATTTGTGGAGCTGTGTTGAAGAGACTGTAGAGATCAGAGTGTTATGATGACATGCTACTGAAGCTCTATGTTCCACTAGGAACGCAAGAGAGAAGTAATAATAATAATTATTATAAGGATTTGATGGTTAAATATTGTTTGTCAAACAGGGCTGGCAGCACAATTATTGTCAATAAGTGAGCTGTCATCAAATTTCAGAAACCCAAACAGGATTGTGATGAGTAGTGAACACTAATCAAAATAAGTTTGGATAACATGTTTCCTAATGTGACAGCATTACTGAAAAGTAAATTGCGATCAGGCAGAGTATAACAACAAGGATGAGTAACAAATTACCTAGGAAGTGAATAGTTTGAAAAAAAACGAAAAGACAAGGTGGAGGGGTTAGAGGATACTGAAAGGAGAAGGGATTGATCACTTTTCTTATGCATACACATTTCAGTTTTCTTCATATGGATGGCAATAGTTTTGGCGATGCAGAGACTACGAAGATATAAAGCCTTTGGAAGGTTTCTGTTCACTTTAGGGGTGAATTTAAACTAGGAGTTCCTTGTGGTAGCATGATTTGTGATCACGATGTGTTCAATTATAACACTCCTTATCGCTTTATTGTTACCTTTTTGTAACCACGCGGGACAATGCTCTTGAGCTCTTTTTGGGATAATAGTTATACCGAACGACCTATATATTTGGCTCCACAAGATCAGGTGACTTTATGTATACACATAGAAGTGGTCAGATGTGAAAGTTTCTCCTTTGATGTGTTAGAAATTGTTGGGCAACAAGAGAATACTGTTGTCAGCGTTGTTGCAAAGAATGCTCTCCTTAGAGCGTTTGATATCCTACTTTTTATAGTGTCAGCGTCAGAATCAACTTTGAAGTTTAGATTCACATAGAATGTCGTTTTTTACACAGTGGTAAGGTTTTCTTTGTGAGATTGATGCTTAATTTTTTTGGCTATGAAGGGTGATGGGAATCCGGTTTTTTTAATCAGGACTTCTCTTAGGACAGAGATTTACCCCTCTAACACATCGGGACTACAAATTCGTGTAATGCAAGTGGCAAGAGATATGACCAAGTTTCGCTTACGACTTATAGGGACCCAGCTATTAAAGTTTATCAGTTGACCATTCCACATTTGTTCCATCAGCTATTCTTGTCGGTTGTACATCAAGAAGGTGAATTTTCGATCGATTTTCTATCTCAAGGGTGTATGGTAGTTATTGAATATTTGTAGGACATGATTCAAATCATATTGATCATAGATAATAAGAGTGTCTCGTCCATGTACCTTTTGTACAGTTGAAAACCTTCAATCGTTGATTTCAAGGGTCCGTTCTTGAAACTGCCTATAAAGGAAGTAATTTGCCAGTAGGAGATTGTATGGTATATAGTATGATTTTTGATTACAACCCTGATATTATTAGATACACTGTAGCTATTTTTCCTTCTTGCATGAGTTCACCTAGTTGACATTTATTCTCCTGTTGTTGTTTTTTGTACCTCTTCTACGTTTATGTGATGAAGTGAATCAACCAGCGCATTGGTCGCATTACATTCAATTTATAATATTCTATTATGGTTGTACGGGTACACGTTGTTGGACTGCGTTAATTGCCCTAATTCTACTTATGGAACGAGCACGTAGTCTGTGCTTTGTATTACGACATCAATTCTATATTTATGCAACTGGTTTTATGTAAGTTCTCAGTTGTTTTCAATTTTTAATGATACTTTGGTGTATACGCTATTATCATTCCAAGAGATGAAGAGAGTCTGTCTATAAACGAAATGATCGTTCTGATTTTCATACTTTTTGTTTCACCTCAGCGAAAGTTTAACACCATCTACAGACTTGAAATATTTTATATTCACAATTAGGCACTGATCTATATTATGTAGAACTTCAGGGGAATAGTTTATTACTAAGCTGTAGTAGTTGCTCAACTGTGGCTCCAGTGGTGTAAACAGTGCGTCATGGGTGTTTGGGCCTTGCTCCATCTACCAAGATTTGGGCAGTCAGGTGGTTTCATTAGCTCTTACACAATAGGTATGGCTTGTTGCCTACTGCGCAGATGTGCCCAAGGTGTCTAATTATGTTCCGTTCGTTGTAATTGTTTCACAAATGATCGATATGTAAATTATATTATACCTTTTTAGGTGACGTAATCACTTGGTGATTACTGTTCGTAAGTTTGGTATTTACTTCTTACCAATGAAGTGTATAGTACTTTTCCAAGATTGGAAGGAGCCTGTGTCTGCACTCACCCTATTGTGGCGAAACGTTGGAAGTAGTCGAAAAGTTTGTGTATCTGGGTAGTTGTGTGAGTGATGTAGTTGTCAACCGCACGTCGAAAGTCAGAGTGGCATACACCAATGCGGGTCACGTTTGGGGCCGTCATGACGTTAGTTTCACCGTAAAGGGTCTAGTTTATAACGTTTCGATGCTAGCAGTTTTGCTCTTCAAGCTGAGGATATCCGGTGACTTTGTGTTCAATGATCGTTGTCTCCATAGGATTGCTCGTATCCACTGGGAACACCATGTAAGTAATCCTGAGGTGGGACAGTGTGTTTAGTCATAATGAAGATCGTCATCTGGAAACACCCGCTTTGGTGCCTTGGACATGCGTTACGCATGTCGTCCTAACGGCTTTCACGCTTTTCACTGTTTGTTGACCCTAGAACTGGATGGAAGAAGCGGAGGAGTTGATCAGTGTATAACATGACGCCGTGGAATGAAGGATAGTTGCTTATGTTGGTACATCACGACTCTCTGGGTGGGGTCTGAGAGATGATGCAAGTCAGTGCGTCAGAGTGGAAACCAGTGATGGTTATTCCGTAACTTTCTTCTATCTTCTGTTGCTGAAAAGTAATGAATGTTTTTTTTAAAGATGTACTTATCCGCTTCCGATCGTTTATATTTTCACAATGTAGTTATGCTATTTTGTGTTGCGCATTTCTTCGTGCCCTTGCTGCACCATGTTTATGTTCTCATAATAATAGTACTACTTCTTGGTGTCATACGGATTTTCTTCAATTATTGACTGAACATCACATACATCTAATTGAATCAGATGATTTTGTATCTTCCGTTTACATTACCTTAACACTCAGTGGAACTTGGTCAATTTGTTGTTTTGCGAGCATTCAATGTATGATTTGTAGTCATTCCGGTATTATTATTCTTCATTTTTATATTATCGTTGATATCAGAGCTAAAAATATTGTTGGTGCACCCAAACAAAAGCAGTTGTTTGACTTAACAGTATTGCAAACAGCACTTTTGTAGATTGATGGAAACCAAAGTGAGTCATAGTTACTTCTGCTTTGTCTTTGTGTCCCGAAAAAGATAACACCCATGCAACTCATTCACAACAACGTAATGTAGACCATATTGTCCTGCTAGGGTGAAGACACTGACAAAATGTAGAGTCTTGTGAACGTGTTTAGAAGAAATTTGAGTTATTTTTGTTACGCGTTTCTCTTGTATCTGTCAAGTGTTAAGTGGTGCTCCAGAACTAACCTGTAACCACTCTTAGTTTAATGATAGGGAGTGAAGTGGTGAAATGGGCTAACCATTTTACTTACTTGCTTAGTTACATCAGCTAACTGAGTTAGCTTTATTGTGTGTTGCGCATGTGTAGTCATCGCCTATTTCGAAGTTCAGTACTGATAAGGGTTGGATTAGGTTGAAATTACTAAAATGTTGTTGAAGTTTTTGATCGTTTGTCTTAGCTGAGCCTTGTGGAATGTTGTAGACTTCCTGGCTGAGCTCCCCGAGACGATAGGAATCAGTGAAGTGGTTGAAAATCAGTCATGAAGGGGTAAATATATTCACTTATTGACATCTTAAGCTTGAACATTCATGGCTGTTTACATGATCCTACCTGTTATCCCTACCGTATACCTCCAACGCCCTATAGATTGAGTGTAGGCGTTATTGATGTTTCCTTCTATCTACTCGAATTTCTGCCACGATAGCACTTTAAAAGGAATGAGTGTCTTAACTCTAATAGCTTGGTTGTATTGATGAGAGAGGATTGTCTAAAAGGTTGAATCAAATCTAAGCATATGCGTTCATTTGCTTTTGACCTTGACTAACTTAGTATCATGTCTTATAATAATAATAATAATAATAATAATAATAATAATAATAATAATAATAATAATAATAATAATAATTCATTTAAAGTTTCAATTTTATTTGTCTATGTGTAAGACAGAACGCTTTATACTAACTTTAAAAACTATTAAATACATGATAAACAAACGTAATGTATCCATTAAGAACTGATGTACAATTTATTCTGTCAGACTGGATCGTTTTTACGCAATTGAATATCAAGTTACTTACTACCTTTTATTGATCTAGCTATGATAAAGCCTTGTATGATACTACATGATTGGCACTGGATCATTGAAGTGTTGTATATTTTCCATGCTTATCTGTATATAATTAAATGTTACCATTTAAAGGAAGAGGGCTTAGAAAAGGTTGGCCCTAAAATAACACGGTCTGCCAGGCCGGCGGTGTTGGTTCATTTGTTGTTTCTTTACGACCATCCATCCCCAAAACAAAAAAAAGTTCAAAACAAGCATACACAAAAGGTTGGGTGTGACATGCCTCAAGCAGATATGCGATGAGCTCTGCGGCCACACAAATCTCTTTCAGGTACCGTAAGAAGAAATAGCCTTTCATGATGTAGGCAGCTGGGAGGTGTCAACTACCTTCACAACTCTGTCAGCATTCAAGTTTCTTTAGACTGCTAACAACTGCTAAAAAATAGCCAATCAGATTGCAGTATTTTGTCTGGGAAGACAATTCTTCATAGAATACAGAGACCTGATTGGCTGTTTCATCATTTACTAGGGTGACCTTTAAAGTCACTCTGAACTGATGTTGAATGCTGCGTTTGTCTCTCTCTCTCTCACACACACACACACAAATAAGTACTGCTGTGGCTGATTAATCTAGGCACTTGATTTTCACTCCCGGTGAGTCATCAACTTGCTGACTCTAAGTAAGAAAAGTGACACAGAGTTTTATATTCTTCGCGTTCTTTTTGCATCGATTTAAGTTTTATCGCTTTTTACTTCAACTTTATCTGCTTTACACAATTTCATATCAAAGCAAGTTAATGAGACCTGAGACTTGTTTTAATTAAATTTTTATGGTAGTATTCATCACGAACTGATATCAGTTGGAGAACTTTTGAAAACTTGGAAGTAGTGAACGACTATTCCATCCTAGTATGTGACTGCTCAGTAATATGCACTCACAACCCGGCTGAGGACGGAGTTCAGGCGAACGCGAAAACTATCCAGCCACTGGGTCGAAATCCAGTAGTTCATAGTTTCTTACTTCTGTTAATTCGCTATATAGCGCAACTACCACTCAAAGTCTTCATTTGTCATTACTCCTCACCTGTTGGATCAACTAGTGAGAAATGATGAGGGTGGCAACTGAAGACCTTGATGCGGATGGGGATAGTCACGCTACATCGCAAATTGACGGAAGTAGAAAACTTTGAGGCACTGAATGCCAACCCAGTGGCTGATTGGTTAACGCGTTCACTTTGAAACCTGAAGGTCATGAGTTCAATCCTTAACCGGGTCGTGGGTGCAAACTGATGAGGAGTCATGTACTAGGACGAAACAGATGTCCAGCACTTTCAAGTTTTCAATAGTTCTTCAACTGATGTCAGTCCGTGATAAATACTACCTCGAAATAAATTGTTATGATTATACTCATTTTTAAAATCGGTATATTCACTGACAAATCTTGTCTTCCCTACCACGTTCATGGAACGTTAGAGTTTATGTTTTTCTGAACGTCATCGCTGACGAGAAAACAAAAATTCCTCTCAATGTCTTAATAATCATTGGAAATGATAACAGATCTTTTATTTAAGCTAGATTTAAGTACTCAGGAATCGGTTCAAGTTCGAAGGCTATCTTACTTCCTTGAACTTCTCAGTTTAGAAACAAATCAATATTCAATATTAATGAGTGAACTCACCCCTAAGGTTATGTAACAGGAAAACATGTAAGCTGCAGTCAACGATAAATAGAAATGACAATTTCAATGTGGCTACCAGTCGACCGATTACGTCGACTAATCAGATAAGTACAAAATCCAGACAACAAACAGGTGATTAATGAATATGAGGAAAGGCGTATTAAGATATAAGTTACCTGTCTGAGTAGTTCGATCTATAATATCGAGTAAGTGTTACATTCCTTATCAAGGTGGAGAATAAGTAAAACTTGGATAATTTGTGGATTGTTCAAGTTTACACAACTGCTACTGTCAATATGAATGTGAACAATACAATATGCTTAAAACATCATCTAGTAAATAATACTGCATCATTGTGTAGCATATCAAATGGTCTACATCTCGTTGAGTAAGACCGTGTTACTGTAAGGTCTAGTTCATGTAATCTTTCGGAAAACAACTTCTAGGGTAGTTTGTTTCGACTAGATGGACTAAATCTTCCTCATTCAAGTTCACTTTTGCTTCATGCGATAGTATGATCGACTAGAGTGATGGTGAAAACAGTTTTAGGCAATTCTTGCAAAATATCTTGGGTAAGTTTCAAGCATTCCTCCATCGATTGACAAATTTCTGCTCTATATCAGAAGTTTGTTTGTTGAGAGCAAACATTGCTTGCATGGATCTCCAAGCACTTTAATCAT